CATTTTTTTCAAACAGAATAATTCTCCAGATTTTTCAAAAATTCTGCTGCAACAAAAACGTCATTAGAATTAAAAAACATATTTCTGCGAAAATATATGAAATTATTTATTAAAGAAAAAAAAAACCAAAACCAACAAAAATTCTATTATTTATAAAGTTTTACTTATGATCAATATATTTCAATTAATTTTTCTAAAAACTCAAGCTCAGTTAATCGATTTTCTTCGATCATTTTTAAATATTTTGGTAAAACCCGTGAAATTTTACTTCTGTCATTTTGAGAGCTGCTTCGCTTATTAGCTGCAACTGTTGCCAAAGAATCATAAACTAAGTCGATCAAACATTTATGTAGTCGATTAGAACTTTACTCAGAAAAAATATTACCAGTCTCAACTATGTGTCAAATGTCTACAGCACTACTGACCTTCAAAATAATTAATAATTAATAATTCTGCAAAAAATAACATTCCATTGGTGTACGTTAATCAAACGCATAGACATATGACAAGAAATGGGAACAATCTTGTTATTCAAAAAGTAAACACTAAACTTGGTGCTCAAAACTTCTTTATAAGAGCTTTTTCAGAATTTAACAATATTCCAACAGAAGTAAAGAAATTTGTCAGCATAAATCTTTTTAAAACACATTTAAGAGAGCATCTGTATTTAAAAAACTCATGGTGTGATATGTAGTAAATTAGTAAAGCTATTATCATTAATTTAAGTATTTGTATTAAACAGTTATAAACTAAAATACAATAAACGAATCAAATTTAAAAAAAAAATAACTATCTATGAAGGTCCACGGAGAAATTATTATGACCTTCGACGTCATTGTTTGTACGACGTTTGCAGTGTGAGACACACCAATCTGCTTAATTGTATCGTCCCATCCAATTTCTTTCAAAATATAATATAAAATCCTTTCTTTACGAAGAATAGGATTATTTCTTATACGTTGTTTGAGAGCAACTAAGTAAAGAAGACCCGAGGAATATGAATGAACAGTGAAATAATACACATACATTTTATCAAACAATAAAGTAAAAGAATATCACTCTGAAATGTTTAGTATTAATACTGAGAATAAATAAGTAATATTTCATATATTTTCGCAGAAATATGTTTTTTAATTCTAATGACGTTTTTGTTGCAGCAGAATTTTTGAAAAATCTGGAGAATTATTCTGTTTGAAAAAAATGTTGCATATATGTTGCGTGACATTGCTTGAAATAAATTCTGGAGAATTCTGGAGAATAATTCTGCAAAATTGTGTTACAGAATTCTCCAGATTTTTTTTTGCGATTCGCATGTTTCTTAAGCAGAATTAATTCTGCAGAATTTTAAATAATTCTCCAGAATAATTCTGCAGAATAATTCTGGAGAATTATTCGGCCCGGCCTATGCAACACACCCCCCAAAATGACCAAAAATATCCTCAAAACATCCTCTACGAAAAAATCCCACTCGTTTAAGAATTATGAGGAAAAAGAAAAAAAAGTTTTTCTCAAAAGTTTTCTTTTCTTGACCCTTTTACCGATTTTCCATCTCTTCCAAAAGAGATTTCCTCATTCCAAAAGCATAAAACAGCCAGCTTTGTTTATTTCATGACATTTTTTATTATATTTTTTTATCGAGAGCAGAGACGAGGGGGGTAAAAGTGAAAATATTGTTCAAAGATTTCATTTTATAAACTCGCACATATTGGATGAACATTTAGTGTGTCTACATGCATTATAGAAAGTCGAAAGATCTTGAGATAGAATCAAAAGAAGACAAATTTAAGAGAACGTGAAAGAAGGCTTAATCTAAAATTATGCTGAATGGGTAGATTGATGGATGCATGAAGCGCATTTTCAAAAATTTCTAGTTTTACTTTCCAATAGTAGCTTGAGCTTATCTTCTACTTACTATCACGTGCCCACTTGCACGAAGTTCAATTGTATCGAAATTTTATTATTTTGCGTACCTCAAGTCTGTGGTATGTGAGAGACTTAAAGATATTTTTGCCTAATCTAAAGTAACAAGGACCAAATAAAAGAGTAAGATGAAAAGTCAATATTTTGGAACACACTTCAAATCGCGTTTTGGCATAGCAGTGAATTAAAATTGATGAAGCTTTAAGATTAAAATTTAAAACAGATCCATTCTATGATTTTTAAAGACCCAGATTGTTAAATTCTGCATAAAGTTTGATTAACGCTAAGCAAAAAGCTCTGATGCTTAGTCTTTCTTAAGAAATTCATCAGAGGATGACAGTCTTAAATGTTAAGCATCTGTAAACGACTGAAATCAGTCTTTCGTCACCTCTTCAAAACACTTAATACCATAACTAACGTGCTATTAGCACCTACCCGGCTAAAAATAATCAAGAGCACATTTTCGCTCACGAAAGATACGAATAAAAGGCAAAAAGGCATTTCTTTCAATGTTTACATACAAGGAACTAGATGAGAAAGGAAGATTTTCTGTGGTAAGAAAAAAGGAGAGAATAAAAAATATATAAGCGATTACAATCACGTACCCACGTTTTCTGTCAAATATTTACAGGAACTTTTATTGTAATCATATAACCACAAAACCAGCAGCAATAGTGAAATGGAAGCAACAACATAAAAAGGAAATTTCATATAATAGAGAACAGACATGGACAGATAAAAATGAAGTTGTTATCATTTTTCACAGGTTTTTTACCTCGCAGTTTTCTCATTCGCTTTCCACTACATGCCATTTGAGGTCGTGTAAGGTAACTGTAGCAAAAACATGTGGAATAAAACTAAGATAATTCTCATTTTATGTCTGTGTGTTTCAAGAATGCTTAAAGGATTAAAATATATTTATAAAAATCAGCTTTTTACTTTATTCAGTCTCCAACTTGTTGTACCTGCTTTACTTGACATGAAATTTATTCAGTATAAATTAGAAATAAAAAGTATAAAAAAATATTCACATGTTTATGCGATGGAAGAGAAAGGAAGAAGGAAAGAAGTTGTACCATCGGCATTATATGAGACATGAAAGTATATAAACATACATGTGCGGTTACACTTTGCCATTATTAGCTAATTTTACTTGGGTAATGTGCTTGTTATGCTTTACACTTTGTATTGATGTCTGATGAGAGTGAAATTTTTAGGATTGAGTTATATATAGGCAGATCTGCCAGTTCGAGAGTAAATCTTCATTAACTTGGTGGTTGAGCAACAGATCGGAATTTTGTATCCCTGTCGTTTATAAGAACATGAGTTCGATTCCTACTAGAAACCGACCTTAATTACTAGTTTCTTTTAAAGGCATTTCAAAGCAAATGCAGCCATTATAAGTTCAATATTTAGCATGTTCAGCATTTTTGAATTATTATATACTAGATAAACAGTTCACAGCTTTTAATTGTATTTTACAGTCAGTAATGTCTTCAAATGAGTTGTTCAAATTGCAATATAGAACTGTGTTTGATCGGGAGATCTGGCAAGCCCTTACTTGATAAGTTATCATAAGCCATGAAACGGATATAACGCGCAACTTTTTTTTTTCATTATAATTGCACTTTATTGCATCTATTGACGACATACTGTCCGGAAATAATTCACATTTTACACTTTTGTATTTGTATACATATGAATTAAAATTATGTAGGATCAAACTTCTAATCTTCAAATTTAGGTTTCAAATAAACTAAGGCTCTCGTTTCGATCTTTTGTGGGCGTGACGTGATACTTTTCAGGTCCGTTCTAACAATATTCCATTCGTGGGTAATCTTGTAGCTCTCGTTCCTATTTATCCCGCTACACTTCAAGTTCCTGACCCGTTCTTTAGTCCAACGTTGCCCAAATGCCCAATTTTGGCTTGATCTCGTACATTAAGCAGTCGAAGTATCTAAACTTCCGAAAAAGAACAAATTTGGAAATGGCTGGATTCGAACCGACGACCTTCGAGTTACCATCCCAAATTTGAGCCAAGCGCCTTACCTTTTCGACCAGCAAGGCACTTAACTGCTTACTATAAAACTTAAGGTCTGAAGAGATCAAATTTAAAATTCAAGTTGTAATTTAAACCAGAAGTTCTAATAAAGTTCCTGAGATTCGCTCTAAAAGCTAAACTAAAATTCCAAACTTATTCACTTGCCCATATTAAACACAACCATGCACATTATTCATCAATTTATAATGATTTCATTACTTTCTTCCTATATTCCAGCCACTATTCGTTGTTGGCTCCGAAAAAATGTAAAATTTTAATACACTTTTGCCTAGATTCCTTTCCGTATCTGTGTACACATGGAAGAAGAATAAAAAAAGTAAGTCTTATAGTCAAATGAGAAATGACATGCTCATGGTAATTTTTGTGTATTGTGAATATCATGCACGGCATCCATTGAAGCTTCTTTTTTTTCGTATCTCATTCATTCACTTCGTGGTAGTTCCATCCTCTCCCTTCAATTCCTTTACGTACTCCCTTTCACACCACAAATGTGTGTTTGAATATGCCATGAATGTGATAACAAAATAAAAATTGATGCTTCCTTGCTGTAAAAAGTTCTTTTCCCACCTCAACAATTTTTTTTTCTCGCTTATTTCCCATGGCACGTTGAGTGTGTATTGGGAATTCTGATGGTGAATGTTAATCCGTGAACAATGAAATTATAATTTGAGGTATTTTGAATTCATCAATTTTGCAGTTTTGTGGTTTGACATTTCGATGGAAAAACTTGTAGTTGCTTTGTGTAATTTTTAGCTGTAAAGCTTGGCATTAAATTTTGGTTTTTATGCAGGTAATGGATTTAATAAATGTTGATGTTTAATAAATTTACTCTAGTAATTTTAATGTTTAATTAGTGGTGTATGAAAAATGTGGTGTAAAAATTGAAAATGAGGTGTGGAAATGGAAGCGACATCTATTAGGAAGTAAAGACGATATATGTGAAAATTTTGAATTTTTTCCAACCGTTATGAATTTTAAATTCAATTTAAATCTTTTATCTTAAGGAATGTAGCCAATTTTCGAAGGAGATGGGTCAACAATCGAGGCTTATTAATAACATCCATCACAAAAAATATTCAATTCCAGCTTTGTAATCTCAATTACAATTTGAATCCGGAAAATATTGCTTGAAATTTTCTTCTTCCGACAATCCAGCATCAAGACTTTTCAAATAGACATGCAGCACCAATTTAGGAAACTTGCCAATCCAAAATTCAGTGTATCCATTCGGTATCGAACCTAAAGTTTTCTTAGCTGATGCTGTCATTTCATCATAATGATTCCGCTTATTTCTGATAGTTCTTAAGAGATTTTCAATGTGAAGTCCATCGTAGTTCACTTGACTACTATACATCAATGTTTCACGAACGTTAAATTCCAACACATCCATCCATGATCCCTGAATGACATCTTCACAATTCTTCTGAAGTGCTTGAGACACTCGATAAGCTAATGCATCTTTAACTTCAAGACGACTTGATACGTTAATCAAAAAGTCTAAGATTTTCTGGTAATCCCAAAAGTATGGATGATAGCACAAGCAATTCATTGATGGACGATCTTCATAGTTTTCTTTTGTCATATTCAGAATGAGATGCTTAATCAAGACGTCATCACTTTTCTCTTCAAAATAGAATTTCCATACAAATGTAAAGTTTGGTGGAGGATTGCCATTTTTGTAGATGTAGTAAATCAATCCACCAGTCATGAAGACATCTGATTTGGCATTCTATGTTGAGAAAGTAAAGCCAACAATTGATTTGATTTTAAAGCACAAAGAAAAACATTTTGAAACTCACAAATCGTCCAGATTTTGCTTCCATTGGCAGATAGAATGCTGATCCAAATGGTTGCACTGACATTCGTGAGCCACTCGTTCCTATATCTTTTGAATATCCAAAATCAGAAATTTTCACTTCATAAACTGACTGTCCCATCTCCAGTAATAGAATATTTGATGGCTTGATATCTCTGTGAACTGATGCAATAATGAAGATTAATTAGATCTGAAAGCAAGAAGCAGCATAGCACTTACCAATTTCAATCTCGTGCAATCTTTTCATTCCTTGAAAAATCTTCCAAATTAGTTCCTTGTGAGGCAAATAAGTCTGTAGATCACCTCGTTTAACATAATCCAGCAAAGTAAATTGACATCTTTCCAATGCAATATATTGATAGTCAGGATCTTCAGCAAGCATAAAATATCTCACAATATTCGGATGATTATCACCTTTTAATAATAAATCAACTTCACGTTCAATTAATTTCGATTTATCTTTTGGAACTCTTTTAACAGCCACATCTCGACTTTGAAACTTTCCAGCAAAAACTGTTGCTGTTGAGCCATGACCAAGGATGTCATTTTCGTCGTAGGAAATTTCAGAAATTGTAATCATGATTTGGTTGTCGAAAAATTGATGTTGATGAGAATAAACTTGAAAAATTTATGTTTGCGGTTAAATAGTTTATGACATGCTATTATTATAATTTCAAGGTTAGGGTTCTCACTTTAATTGTAAATATTTTTCAAACTAGTGCATTAAAAATGACATCATTCTAAATTTTCAGTTCATTTATGCATAAAAAATCACAAACGCTTGTCATTTCCTATGCAGTTCCATGCATTATCAGTAGAAAATTGATAGAAAACGACATACGTCATGCAGCATCACGTGCATACAGATTATCACATTTATAAATAATCATCAATTCAGCATATTAAGTCACAAAATTTTTACAAAATACTTTATTTCTCTTAAATTAGTCTCAAATTTTTACAATATTATTTGCAGCCAAGCTTAATCCTCTTGGAATGCATTGTTTGTAAAAGTCTTTTTGGTATCCTCAATTGGAATTCCATTCTCAGCTTCATCGCTCTTCGAACTATTTACATATTTGTACCGCATTGCAAGAAGTGCAAAAATTGCCATATCCACAAACATCATCACAGCAAAGAGGAAAAATTCGTATGCTTGTGAGTCGAAAAACTTTGCTTTTGCAATAATCACAACGATGACATTCCCAAGAGCTACAGTTAAAAGCCATGAAGCTTGAAGCAACGATTTCATGTTTACTGGTGCCTGAGAGTATGCAAACTCGAGTCCAGTGACTGAGAACATGACTTCACCAGCTGTCATTATAAAATATTGTGGTATCAGCCATAACATGTGAACTGTGTTAGGTATTGTAATCTCATGAAGTTTAAGTTCTGCATTTCCACTGGATGAATTGCTAAGAACGACAGTATAGACACCTCCAAGAGAAACTTCAATATTTGAAATTTTTATGTCATCAGCAAAAATTGTGTATTCTTCAGGCACAACCTCAAACTGCTCTATTGAATCATTTGGAATTGACTTTGCTGTTTCTCCATTTTTGAACACAAATCGAATCTCATTGACTGCATTTAAATTTGACAAGACACGAACGTATGGATTTCCACTTTTTGACTTGTCGATTTTATCTTCAAAACTTTTGATGCTCGGTTGATTTTTATCTCCATAAATGAAGAAACTATCTGACTGTCCAGCTGTGATGTTGAGATTTGTGCTGTAAGATTCACAGTTGGGTGCTGAAGTTGATAGAACTGCTAATTTTGAGGAACTGAGACTGGCATCTTGTGAGTACTTAAATAGTCCTAAATTATTCAATTGATTACTTTCAGGAGTTCCAGTAAAGTTTTGAAGCTCATAAGTACATGGAAGTCCATTAAATATTCTAATTTGTGACTCATTTGGTCCTGGAAAAACTGGATATGTCTTCTGAAGCTGCAACTCAACAAATCCGGAGATCAAAAATGCAATACCAGCAAGAACACCGCCAGCTGCAAGTTTCTGTAGCGGCCTCTTTAACCCAATCACTGACAGAACTGGGTAAATTGCACAGTCAAATAAAGGAATAAATACAAGAATCAACAATGGATTAATAAGCTGCATTTGGTCAGGTTTAATTTCCGTAAATCCAATATCACCATTCATTCTTGTGGCTTGGAATGTCCACCGAGATCCCTGCTGATCAAATAATGCCCAAAATAACGGAAGTGGCAAAAAAAGAAGGAGAATTTTTAACACTGACTTTACGTCACTAATCATTTGTTTGCTGTACTTTGGCTCAGCATAGTTTAGCCAATGTGAAACGTCTCGCTGTGTTTGTTTTGACTTTTCGGATATTGCGTGCTGTGCGATTTTATTGGGGTGGGAAAATCAGAATTAGTAGGAATAATGAAAGACAATCAAGGAACTTACAAGTATACATTTTGTGACTTCTACAATGACATTCCCAGTTGGTTTCTTGACAATGTACTTTGATTTTCCAGCCACAAAAATGAAAATTGATACAACCATTAAGGCTCCCGGTACGCCAAAAGCCAATGAAAAGCAACTAAGTTCACCAAAACAATGAACATCATTACGAAGTACAGGCATTAAGTAAGTTGATATCAACGACCCAGCATTAATGGAGAAATAAAAGAGCGAGAAAAATGTCGCGAGTTGTTTTGCTTGTTCGGGAATCTTAAATTGATCCCCTCCAAAGGCTGCGACACAAGGTTTTATTCCACCACTACCGATGCCAATCAATAAAAGTCCAATTACTGTCATTGACTGTGCGGGTAAATTTAATGTGGGTATTGCACCAGCTGCTATCATACAACTTCCGATAGCGTAAACACAAGACAGGTACAAAATTGTTCTGTGAAAATTCAAGGCTTTAATATCTTGAGTTTTTTTAAGGAAAGCATTAAGGCTGAATTGACGACAAGATCATAAAATCCAAAATAAAATTGCTACTTACCGAAACTTTCCCAAATAGCTGTCGGCAATAATTGCACCCATAATTGGAAAGAAGTAAACCAGACTTGTGAAGATGTGAAAGAGAACAGTTGCAGTGTTGTCATTGTAGCCAAGTTTAATTGTCATGTAGAGCACAAGAATTGCTAAATGAAAATTAAAATTAAATTAGTGAATTTTAATGACTGCCAAAATTGAACTTACTTCGCATTCCATAATAGTTGAATCTCTCGCAGAACTCATTGCTGACAATGAAAGCAATTGATTTTGGATATTTCAGTGGCTGTAAGTAGATGTGGGTAATTGATAATTATAATGTGACTGGTTAAGGAAGTTGGAAATATTGTTGGATTTTGATTTTTAAATCGCAGGTATGAAGAATCAATTCAAACTTGATTTGCGATGATGATGATGACTGCAGTGAAAGTTTTATTACATATGCAACTAGCTGCAGCTAGCTGGTTAATTTAAAGATTTTTCATTTATTCAAATAAACATGAAGCTAGTTATGATTCATGTCAAATACAATCTTACTGATTATGGTGAAATTAAAAGATTGATTAAGAGTCTTAACAAGAATTCATTCCTCGATGATACATGTATAAAGGTGAATTTTGAACCAGACCTAATTTGTGCCTTAACTAGAAATGGATTAAGAGTACGCTAATGATTTACAATTCGATATATCTCTATACAAAATCTGAGTTGACTCGATGCTTTAAAAAATAGACTCCAAATTGATTTAAATTAGGCACAGCTATTTACATCCAAAATGCTCAAATCTCCCATATTCCTCTCTAAACATGCTACAACCTGACTCTTTATGTTTACATAACGCCATCATAAAAAATATATTATACAAATTTAAATGCATGTCAATTTTACTAATTACATTTGCTACAACAAATCCACATGATTCACATGGTTCGCTCGCTTCCAATAATTTATCAGGTATATACACTTTTAATTTTGTTCACTCTCAATGCCAATAATATTTGTTATATAATGCAATTACTAATAACTTGGATATGATGGAAATAAAATGTCAATGAATCGTGTTCAGATTGGCAAAAAAGCTTGGCGTCAGCCTTCAAAGTGTTTAGTATTAAAATTATATTTTTGTGCATCTCTGATGATAAATCTTTTTTTATAGACAGTGTCAATTACTACGCACACTTTCCTTATTTGTAGTTGACAATTTCTTAATTGCTATTTATTTATCAAGATTATAGGATAAGATGAGAGGTGTTGATGCAGGTCATGGAATTTGAAGTATGTCTTTGGGTTTAAAGATTTTTATGAAGGTTGATTTTAAAATAATAGATGTGGTACATTAGATTCTGGAGTCTGGAGCTTCACAACGGTCCACACAGCTTAAAGAATCGTTCTGATCTAGCCAAGGAGGGATGTTCGATCGAGATCTATTGAAAAATTTCTTCAATTTGTTAGAATTTGTTTTCGACGCACTAGCTTCGAACGTATGAATCACACCGAAAAAGCTAATTAATGAGCTATTATGGCAGTCATAAAAATCAACAAATTGACTTTAAAGACCTCAAATCTCCAAAAACATCACAACAAACTTTATAAACCACTCAATGATCTAAAAATAACCTCAGCCATAAAATTCAAATTTCTTCCCACAAAGTAACCCAAACAAAGCTGCACATTTTAAAATGCAAACCATTTCATCACTAATCGTATCATTCGAATCAATTATTATGTCTGTCTATTGCATCATTCTCAGTCAGTAGTGAAAGACTTAAACTTTCTCCAAAAAGTCAACTCAATTCATTTCTGATTTTATGGTACGAACAATAAAAATTATGATAATGAGTAGCCGTGGTCGATCATACATAGGAATTAAAAATACAGAGTAGGAAATGCTTGCCGTATTTGAACTGGCCAATTTAACAACTTTATATCGACCCATTTACTACAGCAAATTCAACAAGTCATTGACTTATTATTATCGGAAATTTCTTTTTAATAGTTTGTAGTCATAATGCTTCAATCTACTCTGTTTGTAAATATTTGTATAAAAATTGATAAGTTTGTGTCGGTTACAATGATTCTTAAGTTGAATATGAAATGGAACAAGAAGTTGAAATTCTTAAGTGTTAAAACTTGTTTTTTATAGAACGGAAAGAATTGTGCAATATTTTTTTGTTGCTTGATTATTTCTGAGAATCTGGTTCTTCGCTTTTGACGCTTAGTTGTTATTTTTAGACATATTATTGACTTTCAGAATAAGCTTTTGGTGATCATTTAAAAGAATAGAAGCCAGAGATTGATGTTGCCAGAAAAAGTAGGTCCAAATCCCCAAAACCCCACCAATTTTATTTAAACTGCACCTCTAAAGCAGAGAATAAATCAGATCCATAACGGACCATAAAATTTGAATGCCGACTGTATGTCTATAACTTTTACACAGCTGATTCGAAATTTATGCAGAAAATTTAAAATGTTAAAAATAAATAAACTTTTATCGAGATACGCATAAGATATTGTCTAGATGACCTTGTATCTCTTTAGATACACAATCATGTGGAACTAAGTTTGATATTTCGCATAGGCTTAATGGGTTTAAATACCTTCGAAGAAGCACATAATTAACCTTATTTTGAATTGATTTGGACGAAAATAACTTTCATTCTCATTTGCATAACAGCTAGTCTTGGATCGTTGGTCTTTAAGAATATAAATTTTAAGATTTGATTTCTAGGAAATTGATAGCTTTTGCTATAATGTTTGAATATTAGGCAAAAATTCACATCATTGTGACTTATTCAAGGTTATCCGCATCAGAAGTCTTAAACAGTTTTAAACTATTTATTCTGCACAATTCCTTCAATTTTAAAATTCTAAAAAGATCACGAAAATTTAATATTTTTGACAAAGTTCAGTTTATGCTGACATCTCCAGAAAAAATTCCAATTCCAAATTGACACAGATAAGATTATCACAATAGAATAATTATTAAGAACTGGCGATCGTCACCCTATTTATTGACATCGTAATTCTCAAACATGTGACCATTAATTGAAGATGCAATAAAATTTTATTAGTTTTTTCATAATAAAAATTCAAGCTAATCATGACATTTAAGATATTGCACGAGGTAAACAAGACAACTAATATCACATGCTATAATTTAAAATGATCTGAATGAACTTATCATTGTGTGATTTAAATTAAATGAAGTGTGAAATAATTACATCTGGTGTAATTCCGTGTGAATTCTTAATAATCTGGGGAAATCTTGTTTGAACAATTTATCATGCATGCATGCAGAGTGACTTCATATTTAAATACACTAGAATTGAATTTTCCTTAGAAGTTTACAAACTATTCATCATTAAGTAAATTCTATTCATTTGTAGCAATAATTAGATAATGGCCAACCCATGTGTCACGACACACTTGTGTGCCGTGAAATAATTTAGGAAATCCCACGAACTGTATGCAGTTTTAGTCATAAAAGTGTTCCGCGGTACAAAAAAAGGTTGACCACGACTGAATTAGGCTTATCTGTGTTTCATCAAATTTAAATATTTATTATGAAGTAAAAGTTGTGATTCAATGTGGAATAAAGAATTAAATTCTTGAAGATTAGTCATCTAGAATCTTATTTTGACTTTATGCTGATTAATCTACTCCTAAGCTCTCAGACCCACTTTTTAAAATTGCAATCTTCCTTCCCGGCCCTAAATTACACATAAAATATATCTGGGTACATCCCTGCATTGATGACTTATTAAGTTGGGGATTCCTGGAGAAAAACTTCACTTTCCATAAAGCTGCAATTGTAAACTCCCTCAAAACAAATAAAAAAATTTAATTGCCGTTCAGATGCATCTTTGGAGACACTTATCAATATTATGTCTAGACATTGATAACTACCGAAAATACTATCAATTTTTTATTATTATTTATTCACAACTTCAGAGCCAAAAAAACGCTTTTGTTTATTTTTCATGTCACAATTTGTCACAATGGTTTGCACTTGAGCGTAAAGCTCATAAAAAATTAAATCACTATATTTGTTTATTAACTCAACAATTGCTTTTTAATACATTTGCTGCTTCTATTCATCAAATGCTAATTGTTTATGTGTTAACACGAACAACAAAAAAACTTTCATTAAATCTATAGCTGTAAAAATTACGCAGTAATTAGATATTAATAAAAATCAAGTACAACATCAAAGATCCGCACGATGCAACAGCAATTTCTCATTTGCTGCATTTTTCATCAGAAAAAATAGTTTTCACATTGACCAATTTTAGCAAATATTCACCTCAATTGAGCCACCTTTTCCGTTTCGATCTTGCATTTTCTCTTATTTATTATTTTTGTCACTTGCTGATTATTTTTTACTGACAAAAGAAATTATTCAAAAATGAACCGCGAAAACAACTTCGTGACTTATTGTACTTCAATTTAATTTTAAACTTGCTTCCTCAAAACCCAACCGACAACACCTGCAACTGATCGAGGACTGAGCTAGCTGAATAGATTCGGTAAAGTCAACAATAATATTTACAAAATAGAAGAGAGAAGAATTGAGAGCGATCGGGCACGTTAAGTTTGATAACTGAGAGTAGCTCTCATCAGCATGCTGGCATATAATCAATGAACTCACTGGATTAATACGAATATTTTTATTTTTATTATTAATCAGACACCAGCATATCGGAACGAGAGAGAAAAATAGTTTTGAATGAAGCTCTGGAGATGATTTTGTGAGAATTTAAATAAAAAAAAATATTTTATTTGGATTTGAATTTTAAATGTCTCTAAATCTAGTCTCAAATTAAACTTTTCAAACTGTAGCTTTACAAGGGAATGACATTAGTTTTTTATCGTGTACATTAATTGCATTTGATCTAATTCATTAAAACCAAGCAAATCAGAGCTGAAAAATATTGTTTAAATGCATGAAAATTGTTAACATAGCTATTGTGCAATCACACTACTTGCCTATATTCAATGATAATAAACAAGTGATGAACGTGAGTTAATCTATTTGAAATACGACGGAAGTACTAAACATTAAAAAATGACATTTTTTGAGATGTGAAATGATCGATAAGCGCGAAATGATTTTTGCTCATTCCAGAGAGAACTTTCAATTGGGTCAGAATCAGCGCAATTACTAAGCTTAATAAATAAATTTTATTCTAGATTTTAGAATGTAATAAATCAAAATGATTTTAATTAAGGTTGATAAGTTTTCAGAACGTCTGAAATTCATTAAATTTACATCACAAAATATGCTCTAATTTGTCCACAACAAGCTCTTGATATTTGATTTAAAAATTAATTAAATTTCATAAATCATCGATCAATACAAGTTAAAAATATTTTATTATCGATTCGGTGATTTTTTATTTCCAACAGAACCAAATAATAACGTTGATACGCTGCTCTGTGAGAGCATTGAAGTCTTTTACGTTTTCTTTTGTCAATTGTATACAAAAAAGACTTTGATTTAGGAGAAAAAAAATTATTACGAAACTTTGAATGCAAATATTTATTCAGATGTTATCGGTGCCTCTACCGTGTCATCCGCATAGAAAATGTTTCTCTCATTCTTTTTTTAAAAACACAGCACAGGTGAATTATTGAGTATGTGTTTAAATACAAACAATTTGTGATCGGAATTTAAATAATTTTTATCATTACTAGTGTTTGACATGTGCCTGTGTGCAGTGACTTAATGAGGTAATAAGCGTAATTAGAGTTAGCATGTTTAGATCCAGGTTAGTCGTCGAGAAATTATTCTGGGGCTGGTTTCTGAGGCTTCAACTTCAAGTTTAGTACATCGATTTTTAATTCTAGAGTGATTAAAAGGTGTCCAATGTAGCCCTAGAACTATATTAGCATGTGGCTAATATGAAAGGATTCTGTTAAAATGTCACAACTTCTTTACTTAAGAAACCAATTAAACACCTTTTTTGAAGCAACAAAGCAAACGCAAATGCGCTCTTTCCATTATTTAAATCACACATTTCATTTCTTGTTTATTTTGATAATTACGTCCACTTATATGACTATAGCACTTCCATTTAACACAACGAATAAGCAAATTAATAAAGTAGAGAGCAAGAGAAGCGTTGATTAACACGTGCTCACTGCTAAACAGTCTCATCAAATTTACTTTCATTTTCTCTCATTTTACTCTTTTGTTGACTCGTCAAGCAGCTTCTTCTCCAATTCGCTTTTATTGTTTTGGTATTTTTAATAAAAAATTCACCGATTCTCAAATAAAAATTAGGCACTGCATTCAGTTTATATCTTGACTTCAGACAGAAAAAAAGCAGGAACAAGTTTATTAACAGCTAATCATGCTGTTGCGTCATCAAAGAATACAATTGCTTACTTTAGCATCAATTATCTTGTTCTGTTATTCACTGAGTGCAATTTTTCAAGAAAAAGTATTAAGAAGACCCTACGGTGAGGGAGAAGGCGAAAGATTTACATTTGCATTTGCATTTACAGCAGTTCAGTGTATTGTTTATGCATGTGTGGCAAAAGGTAACTCACAAGCTATGCAAATTCCAGTCTGAATATCTTAAATATTTTGTTTATTTCAGCAACCATAACTGTTCGGAAGGAGAAGAAGAATGAGACACCGCAAAGATTCTTTTGTATTATTGGAGTATTTTATGTTCTGGCAAAGGTTACATCGTATATGTCCCTAAGATATGTTCCATATCCAACATCAGTTGTCGGAAAATGTAAGTGAATTTTTGATAAATTGTCATTAAGCATGGTTTGGCGGTTCAAAAAACCGGGAGCCTCTGAGTCTAAGATTTTGTGTACATTCAATATATGGGGTTTCTTTTTTGTATAACGGAATAAGAGAACGACCCCAAAAATTAACAGTGATTTGAATTCAAAAATCAAGTTTGAATCCAAAGTTTTCAAAACAAATGATTCATTTGATATCACTGACCTTGCTTCAGAACTCTATCGTAGAAATTTGCATTTAATATGTCCAAAATTGTAATAAAATAATCTTTATCTTTTATACCAGCCGCAAAACCAATTCCAGTTATGCTACTCGGCGTGTTGATAGGCAGAAAGACATACACAATGTACAAATACATCTTCGTTACTATAGTCGTCATTGGCGTTGGACTCTTCACGTTCAAAGAGAAATACGATAAGAAAGACGGAGAAGATCCGATTCTCGGAATTGTGTTTATTGGCATAAGTCTCTTGATGGATGGATTTTTGGGGGCATTTGAAGATCGAATGAGATCCGTAAAGAAACCAACACCATTAAATTTAATGTTTTATATGAACAGCTGGAACTCTTTATATTTAATTGCTTATCTCGTTACAACAAGTGAAGGAGTTGAATTTTTCAAATTTTGTCATCGACATCCAATTGTTATTCGTGATCTTAGTGTTGTTGTTTTCTTTGGTATTTTCGGACAATTCTGCATAACATCAATGATTGCATACTTTGGAGCATTACCATTAAGCATAACGACAACTATTCGTAAATTTGTGACTGTCTTGCTTTCTGTTATGATTTTTAATAATGTCTTAAGCACTCGACAATGGATTGCTGCATCGATTATATTTATTGCGCTATTTCTTGATGGACATTTCAGTAGAAAGGGCAAAAAGAGTAATAAAAACGATGAAGTTACAGATGGCAAAGAGTGTATTGAGAATGGCGTTGAAGCTATAAAGAGAGAAGAAGACAGTGAGAAGATTGTGGAGAAGTGTGAAAAATTAAATGAGCATGGATCTTTAAAAAAGGATCCAAATTGTCGTAGAACAGTCAGAGTTTCTTTTGAAGGAGACATGCTTGACATGTTGGATGAAATAAATTACGGATTCGAAGAAAGTGATGATGATTCTACAAGGAATAAGATTGTAGCTTCTAAAGAGAAACAGGAAGTCTCAGAAGATAATCATAATTCAAAAAGTGAAGAGAATGACAAAGCTGCTGTGGATGAAAAGAAAATTTCAACAGAAAATCTATCAAAAAATAGTGTTAATGAACTTGTTCCAAAAGATAACGAAGTTCTTAGTCAAGAAAACTCAACTCAATGTGATCAAACTTCAAATGCCATAGAAAAATTAAATTTATATCCAAAGCTTGAAAAAGATATGACGCAAGTAGAAAGCATAAGTCACACCGTTACCGAAAATAAAGATTTAGATCCAATAGTGCAAAAAAGTATTGAAAAAACAGAACAAATACTTAATATAAGTTCAACTGAGATTCTAAGTGACTCAAGTGATGACACAAAATTGTGAATATTAAAAATTAATATTAAAAATAATTGAAATTATTTATAAGCCATAATCGTGTTGTTAAGTAATCGTCCAGAAGGTTTTGAATTTATGGAATTTTATTGATATTTATTATTGTGAAAAAAAGCACTTGTTGACAGTTAATTTTTGTAAATAAAGATTATATTGCTATGAAATGAGAGAGAAATTAAATTGTGAGAGAATTTGAGAGAATTAGTAGCACGTGGTTGAATTTCACCATAGACATGCTGTTAATATGGTGGAAAAATATTGTTTGCATGCTGAAATGTTTATTAAACAATGCTGAGTCTACATACAATTTTAAAAATTTTATTTAAATTGTATCAAAAGAGAATCTGGATTTTAAGAAAGGCTTGAAGTTTTAACTCTAAAGTGTGCTCTCAGAGATACCTTGGACCGGTTTCTAAGTCTTCAGAGAGTGCTTTAGGGTACAAAAATTAATTTTGATGCAAGATAAAAATAAAATTAATCTGCGACCAGACTAAGGTGTCTCAGGGAGTCTTATTTATTAAGAGTAGCTCAAGAATCTGACTTCAACTCAAAGTACTCGGCTAAGGAAATAAATTTAAATCTTCTTCTTTGTTCCGGAAGCTAATAAATAATTATAAAGTAGTAAATTAACACTCACGCAGATTTATTGTCATAAAATATCTAGATTCATAATTAATTTACACTGTGACTGTAATTTTCCTTTATGAAATATTTTCTGTAAATATTATTTATATCTTATGAATCTTATTAAGCAAACAAATTTTTTTTATCTCAGCAATGATTCACAGGAAAGTACACAGAGAGCATCCACTTTTGTATTTATGTTTATTTTAATTCATTATTTTGATTTTTTACAAACTTTAAAAGTGGATTTTTGAAGACATTTTCGCTTTAAATTCATTCAAGAACGAACCCTATGCACCGGATTTCTGTTCGATTAACTGACTTGTGCCATTTAGGGAACCCATATAATAGGTAGAGTACCTCAGTCCTTTACAATTACTGACTTCAGTCTTTATATTTAAATTCTAAGCATATATAGTAATTTGAGAGGGTTCCATGTTGCGACGAGCTGGAGGCACTGCGATCCTGATCAATGATAGAATCTATTGCACCTTTAGCATATTTTCATTTCTTAGAATGTGAAATAGACTTAACAATAATAATAAGCATCTCACTCAGAACTCAAAAGCATCTTCCCAATCAGGATTACTCTCATTCAGAGAAACGGAATTAAAAAGTAATAAGATTTAACGACGACCTTAATAATCTTATCAGTAATAAAGTAGATTTCAAACGAGAAGGAAGCTGAGAAGATTTTAAGAAGAGAAAAAAAATAATTAAAAACTTGCAGCACTTTAAAAATAAATAAATATATTAAAATGTTAGAACTGCACAGAAAAATAAAATTAGTAAAAATATCAGTAGGAATAATTGCATCGCACATAATTATGGGAATTTTTCAGGAACGGATTATGAAACAGCCTTACATAAATTCAGATGGAATATCTTCACAGTTCGCACTTCCATTTGCGTATGTCGGTGTGCAGTGTTTTGTGTATACTTTTATTACAGTAGGTCAGTAGGAAGTATAAGATTGAAGACCACTGATTGATTAACTTAAAATCATTGATTTCTTATAAACAGGAATTAAGCTTATTTATGATCGTGAGAAAAATGAAACTCCCCAAAAATATTTTGCAATGCCAGCAATATTTTTCGTTCTCGCACCAGTGTTCTCTAATATGGCTCTCAAATGGGTCTCATATCCAACACAAGTGGTTGGAAAAGGTGAGGAAGTATTTATGTGATGTTTTATGTGCTGTTATTAGATATAATTAAGTGGATTATGGTTGGTGAATTATTAGGCTAACCTACCATTAAGAGAGGAAGTAGCAAGTGTCTTTTAAAATATATTATACAAACTAATTTTGATCTCAAAATATCAGAACCCCCACTTCCTCTAAAAGCGTTCCGTAATAAGTAAATGGTCCCTTAGTGAACACTTCATTGTTGCATGACATCTTATAAATCAAATTGAGTCAAATAATGTTTTGAAACATCAAACAAAGATCATTATTAGCTCAACTTTTTTAAAAAATTGCACGCTTAGCATTTAGCATCTTATTTCCTAGCTCATTAAAATTATATTATGGATTAAAATAATTTTTTTAATAAGATTGATCTTTATTGTCGTTTAGCATCAAAACCTATAATCGTGATGATTCTTGGTGTCCTGATTGGACGTAAATCATATCGAGCACAAAAATATGTATCTGTGATATTCATCATCTTTGGTGTCATCATGTTCTCCTTCAAACCTAATTATCAGGAATCAGAAAGTGAAAATCTTCTTTATGGAAATTCTTTTATTGGATTAAGTCTTGTAATGGACGGATTATTAGGAGCTTTACAAGATCGAATGCGATCGATTTCTAAGCCAACGACATTGAATCTCATGCTGTTCATGAACGCGTGGAGTTCTCTCTATCTAGTATTTCCCCTTATCATCACAAACGAGGGAATTGACTTCATTCATTTCTGTCTCACACATCCCAAAATCATTATCGATTTATCAGTTATTGTGACTGTCGGTACGATTGGACAGTTCTTTATAGCACAAATGATATCAAATTTTGGCGCGCTGCCACTCAGTCTCGTGATGACTGTGCGAAAATTTTTGACTGTTTTTTTATCAGTAATAATATTTGGAAACGAATTAAGTATTATTCAGTGGATAGCAACAGGCGTAATTTTTATTGCTTTAGTCGGTGATTCAATGTTTCGTGGAAAGTCATCAGAATCGAATGAAAGTTCTTTGGAAACTTTAGAAACCGACAATTATGACGACACAAAAAAATCAAATTTAAAATCTGTAGTCATTCACAATCATGATCCAACTGAATTTGTAAAGGTTATAGACATCGTTGATCAAGCAGTTCCGCAGAATTCAGATTGCATTCATTGTAATGAATCTACTAAGAAATATTGAAATTGAAATGATTAGAAAGAAATACAAACTTTATGAAATTTTATAGACTGACTTATTCAGGCGGTAATCAGGCGGTGTACTCAATAAAATTAAAATATTTAAATTGTAAACTGATGATCTGCTATTATGTTTAAATAAATCAAAATAATATTAATGACTATATTGACAGCTTGCTTACTCTGAAAATTAATTTGTTACATCTGTGAGTTTTTCAGTGATTCGTGGCAGTTCCATGCAAGGAGACGATAAGTTGTTATGTTGCTGTTCCTGAATAGATAATGTTTTATCACTTTTCTTGGATAACCCAATTAAGCCATAAAATTCTTAAAGTCACAAAACCTTCGGATCAATTCCTTGGCTTCTGTATTTAAAGTCGGAGATTAAGCCCATCTGGAAGATTTAAACATTCAATTCCGAGCTTTATTAAATCAATCTCGCTCTGAAAGCCGCATCGAGCTTTTGACATTTGAGTCGTACGAAAAAATTTCCAAAAATTCACAACAAACTTCCGAAAATCAATATCAAAAGTTCTTCAACCTCAGTAAAAAATCAGATTTAAATCTAAGAACATACAATCTCTTGTTATCGTTATCGCTGTGTACACATGCTGCGAATATAATCGGTATATCAAAACTTGATAATTAATAGACTGTCATAAAGCGATTAGAAAAAGATTTTTTTCTGCATTGTTGACAGTAATACTGATAAGATAACGGAAGTATAGAATATTATGCTTATGTTCGGGAAAAATGGCAATCGTATTGCTTGATAAGATAGCAAACAGGTGAGCATTGACTTATTTCTTTTGGGTTTGTTTTTACCTTTTTTGCAATTGATGAATAGACTTTTTTAAGCACGTGGAAGAAAGCTGTTGATAGAAACAGTATAGCCCTTGGTATTGGAAATTGGTAGACGGTAGCCAGCGATAGAGCTAGTTATAGGCGTCAATTAAGGGAGGACATAGATTGCATTTGATCTGTACGACCAGAGAATTATAAATTATATTAAAAGCTAGAAAACCTGAAAAACTTATGAGCTTCAATCTTGAAAAATTTAAAACATGACTCAAAATGAATGAAGCAAAAAAAATTAAAACAAGAAATTTTTCACCATCCCACACGAGCGTACTTGAGAGTATTCATGAGAATAAGTCAGAAAAAAATATCGAGTGAATAAGAAAAGTGGGAAATAATTAATAGAGTGGCTTAAAAGATTATTAAAAGATTTTATTCTATTGTTGACAACAATATCGATAAGATAATAGCTGATAGTGGCAAATAAGATTATCAGTAATTCGCAATTACGCAATGTAAGTTGATGATAAGATAAACTAAGGTTGAAAACTTAGGTCCTGTTTTTATTGGCGTCAAATGCATGCATCATTCTGTTCATCGTAGTTTTGTTATCTTTGAGAATTTATGTTCATCTCTTAAATGCACCATCAAAATACAGCAGCCTCCTTACCATTGGAGATAATCAAATTTATTGTTCAATTACTGGTTCGAAAGTTGGGATTTTAGTCTTTTAAGCCAATTGCATTATCTAAATTAAGTCTATATAATGAATGGAAAACCATCGATAGCTCTTTAGCACCTTTCATTAAATACAAAACGCCTGTCCTTAGTTGCGTCGCATATGAAAAATTACTTTAAAGCTTCGATCAATCAAAAGTTCTTAATCTTCTTTAATGACAAATTAATAAATTTATTGTGCAGGCTCAATGCCTCAAAATTTCTTAAGGTAATATAAATGTACGTGAATTTTACCTTTACTTCTTCAGTCTAGTTTTATTTTGTGGCCGGGTTAGACTGGAAGTGATAAAAAGACAGTGTTGTGCTAACTAGTGCATAAAAATGGCGGAAACAGAAGCAAAGAAAGATGATAGTAAGATTCTGTTCCAAAAAGAGTGAAATTAAGTTCTTGTCTCTACAACTTGTAGAACTATGTTAAGAATCAAAAGCAACTAAAATGAGTCAATTATAATAGAATATAAAAAAATGGTTGTTCGCATTGATGTTCAACAAAAAATTATAGACCGTTTTTTGAAAATTGTGCTTTTTTCATAAAAATGTGCAGTCCATGACCCAAAATTTTGGACGTCAGAAGTGAACAACCATGTGAGAAGTTTAAAAGAAATTGATTAATAGCCCGAAATAATAATTACAGATCAATCGGATGCAGGTAATCCAGAACCTGTTCAACCGAAATTGAAATATCCAAGATCAATTCCATTTATCATTTCAAATGAGTTCTGTGAACGATTCAACTTTTATGGTATGAAAACCATTTTGGTCCTCTTTTTGACCAGAAAGTTGATGTATGATGATGATACATCGACTATGATCTATCACGTTTTCAACATGTTGGTTTACTTCACTTGCATATTCGGCGCTATTATTGCTGATAGTTGGTGAGTTTAAGATGCATAGATGATTATTAGTGGCACAGGAATTATGGCTCGACATCAGCCACAAATTTACATCTTCGATTTGGGGTTTTCATATTAAAATGTTAAATCTTAAAGCTCACTTTCATAACACTCATACTTTATAAATTGATCAATCGAGTACTTTAGCCCCTTTTAAAGCTTTGGTCGCATTACTCTCATATCTTTCGTCTGGAACAATTAATAACAAATTTTTGAAATATTGATTATCTAAACCCTCTTTTGATATGATGCAATGATATGCTTATCAACATTAATCAATCAACAATACTTTACAGGTGGGGTAAATTCAACACAATTGTCTGGCTTTCAATTGTCTATGTTGGTGGAAGTATTACAATGGCTTTCAGTGCTATTGATCCTTGGTTGGAACTAGATGCAGCGAGGTATGGAACTCTCCAGTTATTATTGTTAATTTCATTCAAAGCACTTCTTAAAATTTTACTAGAGGACTGACAATTCTTGGATTATCTCTGATAGCCATTGGCAGTGGTGGTATTAAGCCTTGCGTTGCTGCTTTCGGAGGAGAACAGTTTAAAATGCCTGAACAAGCTAAACAAATTGCAACTTTCTTCTCATTGTTTTACTTCTCAATTAATGCCGGTTCATTGCTGTCAACATCCATCACCCCAATTTTGAGAGAAGATGTTCAATGCTTTGGAATGGATGATTGCTTCCCATTGGCTTTCGGTGTACCAGCAATTCTTATGATTGCTGCTGTTCTGTTCTTTATTGCTGGAAAGTTTTTGTACACAATTTTGCCAAATCAAGGAAATATGTTGGTGAAAGTATCCAAGTGTATCTCAGTAAGTAGCACATACTTAAAAATTTTCATCAATTCTTCATGTGCTTGTCTCGTTTCTAGAATGCACTTAAAGTAAGAAAGGCAGAAAAAGCTACAAATCCAAGAGAACACTGGCTTGATTATGGTGAAGCAATGTATGGCCGCAAACTTGTTCTTGAAACAAAGATTCTACTCAATGTCCTTGTCCTCTATCTCCCACTTCCATTTTTCTGGGCACTTTTTGATCAACAAGGATCACGATGGACCTTCCAAGCTACACGTATGGATGGTGATTTAGGATTTTACGTACTTAAACCTGATCAAATGCAGGTCATCAATCCATTACTCATTCTCGTCTTCATTCCACTTTATGAAGTAGCTTTCTATCCATTACTTAATCTCATCGGAATCCGTCGACCACTTCAGAAATTGACTCTTGGTGGAATTTTTGCGGGAATAGCATTTATCATGTCAGCTATTGTTGAGATCAATCTTGAAAAAACTTATGCTGTTTTGCCACAATGGGGAAGTTCACAGTTGCGACTTTATAACGGAAGAAATTGTGATTATACTTTAACTACAAATATTCCTGGACATGCCACAATTAATTTAAAGTCAATGGAATTATTCGAAGATTTATATGTTCCCGTCAGTAATGGACTTCAAAGCTACACTTATTCATTGACATCAAGCAATTGTCCTGATGATGCATTGTCAGGAATATTCCCATTACATGAGCGAACAGCCACAAGTTTATTCTTTACTGGTATAAACTCTTTGGAAGTAGAAATGTTTGAAGATAATCCAGAAAAATCAAGACGTGGCTGGCCATTCATTATTGTTTTAGCTAATTTACGATCAGGAACATCGAGAGTTAGACTTGTTGAAAACGGAAACGAAAGATACAATGAGTTAGGCAACTTTACAGATCAAGTTGATGTTCCTGCTGGATGGTACAATGTCTTTGTAGATGATATAGAACTTGAGTCAAATAAGGAACTTAGACTTGGTGGTGTTTACACAGTTATTGTTTCACAAGCAGCAACAACACCACAATCAAAACTTTTTATAATTACTCAGCCAAATTCAATGAGTATGCTGTGGCTAATCCCTCAATTCGTAGTAATGACGCTAGGAGAAGTAAGCTGATTGTCATCAAGGGTGTGGAACTGATTAAAAATGATATCACTATCAGTTCCAAACCCTTAGTTGTCATGTTAATATAGACTCCTTAACTTTTAAATGTTTATGCTCTCTTCGCAGGTTATGTTTTCAGTCACTGGCTTAGAATTTTCATTCACTCAAGCTCCAGTTAGTATGAAGAGTGTCATTCAAGGTTGTTGGCTATTAACAGTTGCTTTTGGAAACCTGATTGTCGTTATTATCACAGGTAAAATGAATCAAATATCAATAAAATTTCTCAATTTTAATTTTTGTCAACATTAGGTGCCAAATTCTTTGAATCACAAACCTACGAGTTCTTCTTATTCGCTGGTTTGATGTTCTTGGACATGATTGTCTTCTCATGGCTTGCTATTCGATTCAAAGAGATTCCATTAGACCTTTTGGAGAACATTGATGATGATGGAAATGTAGCAGAAAAACAATCAGCCTTAGAATTTAAGCAAGAAGAGAAAGATCAGTAGATGTTATAGTTTGCAAATTTATAAAATTCTAATTTTGATGAAATAAAATTATCTGATTTTTTATGTAAAACCTTGAATTAAGTGTTTTGGGATCGAATGAATCAAGACAAATTCTGAAGAATCCTTAAAATTCTTTCTAAAAAGTTGCACGAAAAGAAACAAAAATTCTGAGAATCTTAAGTGGAAATGAACATAACGAAATTTCAACGAATTTTGTCAACATTTCCCGCGATGGGAATTTCCCATCATGTTGTTTGTCCTCTTGACCCACCTCATGAATCATGATTAAGCATTTATTCTTATCAGTTGAAATCTCATGAGAAATTTAACTCTTTTTCTCACATGTTTCATCATTTTGACTCTCGTTCTCTCAGTGATAGTGCACATGATAGTAAAATAATAAAAAGTTTTATCACCTTCCACTACGACTTGTTATTATTTGACTCGTGACGGAAAATTATTCACCGGGTGTCGTAGATGCCCGTTTCAACACATCATGTCAGCAATATCATAATGATAAGGAAGAAATCAAATATTCCAGTTCTTTTGTAACCAAAAAAAAAAAATACAATAACAAAAAAAAGTATACGAATCACCCACTTTACAATTTTATTACACTACTTGAATGATATCAAGAATTTATTTCAACTGTCGATTGTTGAGTATGAATTCACATGCTTGAGTTAGCTTGAGTGATAAGATAACAAAACGCAAAAAAACTCACAAAAAAAATTAAATGAATTCATCCTGAGAGAATCAATGTATAGCCACGAAATTTGATGAACAATTTAGTGTGGTTTGGACGCTTATAGTAATCGGACTTAAAAGCTTTATTCTTTACCGTGTTTAATCATGGCTGATGATACAAATGGAAAAGGTATTGAACAAAAAAAAATTAAGAAAGAAATTTGGAACTTAGAAAAATTTTCAAACATGTGACAAGAAATTGAGATTTGATCTGAAAGGATTAAGGCTTGGTGATGGTGAACTTTTGTGCTAAACAAAAACTAAGGATATTTATTAGGAGTCGATAGATCAATTAAACTTGACATTGATCACATGACTAGTTTATATTAAAATTTCCTAGAAACTCACGGAATAAAGTTATTTATGGATATACTTTTGAATGCATACTTAATATGTGATTTAATCAGTGTTGACTTTCATACAAAAATTTTATTCAGAAAAGTTTAATTAAAATGTATTGTGGAATTTAAATTGAGTGTTTTTTCAAACGTTTATCTAGTTCTTTTAGCAAATATTTATCAATCTTATGGCTTAAGTTTAATTAAGTGCAAAATCTAGAACATTTAAATTCTAGGATCTTACAGTATTGTTAGAATAGTAAATGTTAAAGCTTTTGTAATTTTATGATCCAAAAAATCGTTGTAGATGCAATTTCTAGGATTTTTACATTTTTTCAAATTAAATTCTTTGAATAATTTAAAGCGAACAAAATGTTTCTAAATCTTTTCTTGCCTTAGAAAAAAAACTACCAGCTAGTCAAATATATTAGATTTATCACTCGTTGAATCGCAGTGTCTTCAATAAGTTGGAACTTTAAATTGGATGAGCTAGTCCGTTTAAAAAATTAAATCTAAGTCATCAAACTGTTAATGAACGAATCTTACAACTTAAAAATAAAATCCAAATAATCGAAATTCTAGCGCTTAATAATTAACAGAAGTTTTCTTGAATTCAATACTTGATTCCATAAAAAATCGAGAATATGATCGAAATATGGAGAATACGAAAAATCGGTAGATCAAGAAATGTCTGAAATGTTATTTCTAAAGAATCTCAACATCAAAAGTCTCTGTTGATCCTCGAAAGCATTATATAAATTAATTTTAAGAACAAAAATTGATTTTTTTTTTCTTAAATTGCAATGCAATAAAGCTTTGTCAATAGATTTTTAATCTAAATCAAATAACCAGTTTTCTCCAGATTTGAGGGAAATTTTCATTAAAAAACTCGACAGCCCGTCAGACTTTCAAAGTCACCTTAATCTCAAAGCTTAAGTCATTCATTTCATTCCAAAACTTATCAATATAAATCCTTCATAGTATAGTGATTTATTATAAATGGATGATTAAGAGCCAAAGTCAAACAAATGAGTTAATATAAGTCGCTTATATTTATCCGAATTCAATAGCCGATAAGATAAAAAAGAGTTATTTACAGGTTCAATTGGTCTCGTTATATTTTCCTAGTACAATTATATGAAAGAATATCTATTGTATTTGTTCAAGTACATTGTTAAGAAATTCATAAGCCAAACAATTGAGAGTTAAGCGTTATCATTAAATATAATTTTTATAAATTCTTAAGACAGCGTTTCAAGTCACAATTATTATTAACGATAAGATTTCCAAATGATTGATTAATTTTTTGTGAATTTTTCTTTAGATGTTGTTGCCGAAGGAAATGGCGAAATTGAAGGAGTTGAAAAGAAACTAAAATACCCGTACTCAGTATTCTTCATTATCAGTAATGAATTTTGCGAGAGATTTAACTATTATGGAATGAGAAGTATGAAAATCTAGTATTTTTGAAACTCGATATGCTATTAACAATTTCCTTTTCTAGCCATTCTTGCTCTGTACTTAACACGAAAACTTTTATTCTCCGATGATGTTGCAACAATTTTATACCATTCATTCACAACACTTGTATACTTTATATGCATTATTGGTGCAATTATTGCTGACAGTTGGTAAGTAGAGCTCTTTCTTATTTATGATTTTATTTTTGAATGACAATTCCCAATCTTCAAAAATCCAGATCAGAACTTAAAATTCTTTGCTTTATCAAGTCCAGATCTAGTTCTTTTAGAGTAGGATGACATTATTGTAGATTTATAAAAAAGAATTAATGTTCAAACTTAATTTTAAAGGTGGGGAAAATTCAACACAATTCTTTGGCTTTCACTCGTTTACGTCTCAGGAAGTACAGTCCTCACACTTGGAGCTGTTGAAAACTGGAAAATGCCAGCTAAGTAAGTTTATTTTGATTCCTAAAGTTTCTCATTAATTACTTTACAAGTTTTATTTCAGAACGTTCACATTTATTGGTTTAGCATTGATTGCAATCGGTAGTGGTGGAATTAAGCCTTGTGTAGCTGCTTTTGGTGGAGAACAATTTAGAATGCCACAACAAGCCAAACAGCTTGCACTCTTCTTCTCACTTTTCTACTTTTCAATCAATGCCGGTTCTTTGTTATCAACCTTTGTTACTCCAATTTTAAGAGAAATGGAATGCTTGGGAATGGATTCTTGTTTCCCATTCGGTTTTGGATTACCAGCTATTTTGATGGCTGTTTCTATTGTTATTTTCGTAGCAGGAAAGTTCATGTATAGAATCTTACCAATTCAAGGAAACATGTTGGTTAAAGTCTTCAAGTGTATTGGCGTTAGTTCAAAATTATTTATGGATTATTTTGAGTGCAATTGAAAATGTTTAAATTGTTTACAGGAAGCAATCAGCACAAAGAAGAAGGAAAAAGATACAAACCCAAGAGAGCACTGGCTTGAATATGCAGAACCAAGATTTGGAAAGAAACTTGTCATGGAAACCAAAATTCTCCTCAACGTACTCGTCCTTTACATTCCACTTCCAATTTTCTGGGCTCTTTTCGATCAACAAGGATCAAGATGGACTTTCCAAGCTACACGTATGGATGGTGATTTAGGATGGTTTACAATTAAACCTGATCAAATGCAAGTCATCAACCCATTCCTTATTCTTACTTTCATTCCTCTTTATGAGCTGTTGTTCTATCCACTTCTATCGCTGATTGGAATTCGACGACCACTTCAAAAAATCACTCTTGGTGGAATTTTTGCTGGTGTAGCATTTATACTCTCAATGGTTGTTGAAATAGCAATTGAACCAACATATCCAGTACTCCCAAAAGCTGGATGGTCACAACTCAGAATGTACAATGCAAGAAATTGTGATTATAATCTTTATGTTAATCTTGATATTGAAAACAAAAACTTCAACCTCTCATCAAATACATTTGCAAGTGATCTTTGGGTTCCAATTAATGGAGACTCACAAAATTTCGATTTTTTACTGACGGCATTGAGTCCAGGTTGTGATTCATATAATGGACAAGGGAAATTAGAAAGTGGTAAAGCCAACAGTTTCTTATTGTCTGGCAGTGGTCCAACTCCTTCAATCACAACATTTGAAGACGATCCAGACAAATCTCGCCAAGGAAAGCCAATCGTTAGAATTTTAGCAAATGTTGGTGAAACTACAAAGATTTCTTTACGTACTAAGAATGGAATAGAATACGAGGATACTAGAGCTAATATGAATCAAACTGATATTACATCGACAACTTATGACATATTAATTGGTGGAACAGTTGTTTCTACTGGACATCCAATGAAGACTGGTGGTGTTTATGTGGTTTTAGCTCATGAAAAGTCCGCAAATACTTATGTAAGGATAGCTTTTTTAAATTTTGAAGAAAAATAATCAATTATTGATAAAATATTCATTTTAGGAAGCAAGTGTTGCTACCGTTACTGGTGCTAATTCTGTCAATATGCTGTGGCTAACCCCGCAAGTAAGAACTAATCTAATCTATCTAGAATGTTTTAAAATTCAAGACTTTTTCAAAGTTTTGAATTTCTGAAATTTGTTAAATTTTGAAATTTAATTAACCTTTAATTTTTTTTAATTCTAGTACGTGGTTATGACTTTGGGAGAGGTAAGCACAATCTCCTTAACAGCTCTAATTTGATATGCTGCATAGAAAACTAAAAAATATCTCTTTTAGGTTATGTACTCAGTAACAGGTCTACAGTTCTCATATACACAAGCTCCAGAGAGTATGAAGAGTGTCATTCAAGGTTGCTGGTTGTTGACAGTTGCTGTTGGAAACTTGATAGTTACAATTATTGTTGGTAAGTATCAAATGATTCCACTTATTTTGAATTAAACTAATTGTAATTTTTTCAACAGGTGCTCAATTCTTCAGCTCACAAGTGTACGAGTTCCTCCTCTTTGCATGTTTGATGTTCGTAGACATGATTGTATTTTCATGGCTTGGTATACGTTACAAGCCTATTCCACTTGACGAGATTAAGAAGGCTGAAGAAGAAGAGAAAGCTTTAAAAGACGGAAAGGGAAGTGATCCATTAGAATTCAGAGAAAATAATTAATAAACTGGTTGAATTTTTTAATTTTCTAAAAAAGTCGTGTTTTATTTTTTGAAATTATTGCAAATTATTCATCTGTTATGCTTATCTGAATGTTTATATGTCTGACCTTGTTCTCAACATGAGTGCTTTAGATTGTGGAAAGTAATATCGTTTGTCTTCAATTCTCATTTTCCAACAAGCTATTTATCACGTAAAATAGATAACTATTCATTAAATGTAGCTTCACATTCATAACAAACAGAGTCATTAAATGAGATATTTGATTAGTTTTACAGCACAAACTAAAACTTCATTTCTCCAATTACTGTGTTGTGTTGCTCAGTTAGAACAACTGTCAATAGTCTAATTATTGTGTACATTCTCTTTATTAACAGATAAGATAACAAAATGCAAAAAAATAGAAAGTACTTATTCGTCGATCAGGAGAATCAATAAGATTATCAACTCTTGATGAGCTATTCAGTTTGATTTTATCGGTTGTGATAGGCAGACTAGTAAGAATTGATAGTTGCGGATAATAATGGTTATTGTTCAGAAAGGTAATGTGAGATTTGAAATAAATTCAACAATGAACTGATATCTAAAATACCATCAAAGATAATGCAAAAGATAGTTTAAATGCAATCTTCAAAGTTTTAAAGAACATTCGAACTGATAATGTAAGATTGTAGCTCAACTTAGAGGAGCTGTCAAAGGAGGAAAAGTCGTCGAAACTAAATTACAATATGACTTTATAAATTGAAAGTATCAATCAATGAAAACGGAGTTGTGATGGATCAGTGACAATACCTTTATCCTTTGTCTCTCTTATTAGAGCATCAAAACAGCAATTAAGACGAAAAATTGTTATTCAAGGAAATAAAAATCCATTAAAAAAGTTTAAGAAGCGTCTGGACCGACTTTGGCTAAGCCAAAAGTCTTTTTTTTTTTTCAAATTGTCTAGATTCAAACAACATTCTGAATTAAGCTTGAGTCTACGATAAGTAATATCCAATAATTCTTAAGTAAAAGCACTTAAAACTTGTGGAATGCATTAATGACTCAGACTCTGTCAATTGATTGTTCAATATATGAATAAGTTGTTAAGTTCAATCAATTCATTCAATGATAAGATAACATTGTATTAAACAATTTAATATTCAAACTTATTACATATTATTGGTGTTTTAATTTTAAATTCCTTTGTTACTAAATTTAATTCAGATCCAAAATAGATTTTTCAATCTCAAAAAACACTTCATTTAGTTAAGATTAGTTCAAATAATCCAACTCGTGTTTCATGAATCAAGATTATAAATTTAATTCATAATTTCTTTAGTTGAGAATGATGGATCTAATGAAGCAGAAGGGATCATCAAGAAACATAAGTATCCATTCTCTGTATTCTTTATCGTCAGCAATGAGTTTTGTGAGAGATTCAATTATTATGGAATGAGAAGTATGTTAAATAATTTTATTATCTGTAAATTGAGTGCTCAACAACTTCATTTTTTTATCAGCAATCCTAGCAATTTACTTAACCCAAAAACTGTTATATTCCGATGATGTTGCTACGATATTATATCATTCATTTACAACGCTTGTGTACTTCTTTTGTGTTTTTGGTGCTATCATCGCTGATAGCTGGTGAGTGACTTGATTTTGATTATTTCTAAAACTTCAAATCATTTCTTATCAAGGTGGGGAAAATTCAACACGATTGTTTGGTTATCGGTTGTTTATGTAGCTGGAAGTTCAGTACTCACTCTTGGATCTGTTGAGCCATGGAATATGCCGGCTAAGTAGATAATTGCAATCCCAAAATCTGACTTTAATTAATGTGTATTCTCTTAAAGAACTTTGACGTTTGTTGGGTTAGCTCTGATTGCTATCGGAAGTGGTGGTATTAAGCCATGTGTAGCAGCTTTTGGTGGTGAACAATTTAAAATGCCGGAGCAAGCCAAGCAACTTGCACTATTCTTCTCACTGTTCTACTTCGCAATCAACTTTGGATCCTTTATTTCAACATTAGTCACACCAATTTTAAGAGAAGATGTAAAATGCATGGGAATGGATTCTTGTTTCCCGTTCGGTTTTGGATTGCCAGCTATTTTGATGGCTGTTTCTATTGTAATTTTTATATCTGGAAAGTTTATGTATAAAATCTTACCAATCCAAGGCAACATGTTTGTGAGAATTCTAAAGTGCATCAGCGTAAGTTCAAGATCATTTAAGGCTTATTTTGAGTGCAACTTAAAATGTTAATTTTGTTTACAGGAAGCACTAAGCACAACGAAAAAGGAAAAGATTTCAAACCCAAAAAGTCATTGGCTTGAATATGCAGAACCGAAGTTTGGAAAGAAGCTTGTGATAGAAACCAAAATTCTTCTCAATGTTCTAGTTCTGTATCTTCCACTTCCAATTTTTTGGGCACTATTTGATCAACAAGGATCAAGATGGACATTCCAAGCTACACGTATGGATGGTGACTTAGGATGGTTTACAATCAAGCCTGATCAAATGCAAGTTGTTAATCCATTCCTGATCCTTACTTTCATTCCACTTTATGAGGTGTTGTTCTATCCACTTCTATCGCTTGTTGGAATTCGACGACCACTTCAGAAAATGGCACTTGGCGGTGTTTTTGCTGGAATTGCTTTTCTTTGCTCCATGCTAGTTGAAATAACGATTGAACCTACATATCCGGTACTTCCAAAAGTTGGATATTCACAATTTAGAATTTTTAATGCAATGAAATGTGAATATAAAGTCACAACAAGTATTGAATCTTCGAGAAATTTCAGTCTGGGACCGAATGAATTCTATCATAATCTTTGGGTTCCAATCAATGGAACTTTTCAAGAATTTAATTTCGATTTGATTAGCCAAACTCTTAATTGTGACTCATATCAAACTACAGTTGAATTAAAATCTGGAACTGCCAATAGTTTCTTAATAACTGGGAAGAAAAATATGCCAGCTATTTATGGATTCAAAGATAATCCTGATAAATCTCGACAAGGAAAGCCAGTCATCAGAGTATTAGCAAATATTAATCTATCAAGTCTTATAGAGTTTCATAACAAAGATGGAATACAATACAGCCATAACTCAAGTTTTTCTGATCGTTTAGATGTCCCTGATGGGTTGTATGATATATCAATTGATAGTAAAATGATTAAATCTGGAATTAAGCTTAAACATGGAGGAGTTTATGCTGTTATCATTCATGAAAAAACTTTGGATAGTACCGACTATGTAAGCTGATAAAATATTATCTGACGAAGATGTAAGACGCTATAAATATTTTCAGGCTTTGAATATTTTGACAGTAACCGAGCCGAATTCTGTAAATATGCTGTGGCTAATTCCTCAGTTTTTTGTCATGACTTTGGGAGAAGTACGTTAAGTATGATTACATGACAATCAAGATCTTTAATCGACACATGTCTTACAGGTGATGTTTTCAGTTACTGGTCTTCAATTTTCATACACACAAGCTCCCGATAGCATGAAAAGTGTCATCCAAGGTTGCTGGCAGTTGACAGTTGCTGTAGGAAATATAATTGTCACTATTGTCGTTGGTATGGAAATAATTAAAGCTTTTACGGAGTTGTTTAATTACAAGCTGAAAATTTATTTCAGGCGCAAAGTTTTTTGATTCACAAACATACGAGTTCCTTCTCTTTGCATGTCTAATGTTTGTGGATATGATTATATTTGCATGGCTTGGATATCGTTACAAGGGAATTCCACTTGATGAGATTAAGAAGGCTGAAGAAGAAGAGAAAGCTTTAAAGGATGGAAAAAATACTAATAGCTTAGAATTTAATTAAAAAATAAAATGTTGACTAAAACCTAAAATTTGTGTTATTCAGGTACGTAGGCAGAAATTTGTCTCACAATCCCCCACTAAGTACAGATGTTTAAAATAATAAGGAAACCCTAACCAAAAATTGTAAATTGCTACTTCACATTGGGATATAAATTCAATTTGTAGCCGGCCCATAGAGTAACTGCATCCTCAGATATTCCCGAATGGCAGAAGTCGGTTAATCGAACAGAAATTTGGCGTCAAGCCAGCATGGCTCTGGCATGGTACTAGTTTCGATTTAAATCCAGCCCTGGCATGGTGCTAGCTTCGATTTTAATCCAACCCTGGCATGGTGCTAGCTTCGATTTTAATCCAACCCTGGCATGGTGCTAGCTTCGATTTAAATCCAACCCTGGCATGGTGCTAGCTTCGATTTCAATCCAGCACTATGCTATAGTCACAGCTTGGTGCCGTATTTCTGGTTTCCATTAACCGATTTGTGCCATTTGGAATAGTTTTGTTCTCAGAGAACTTAATAATGAAATTATTCACTTACTGATATTGAATTAGTCATCCATGCGATGAATTTTATTTTGATTCATAGTCTCATTCGATAAAATTTTCAGTCCAACTCCATCTTCCGTTCATAGAGCATCAGCATATTAAGCAAAACTTGCATAAAAATGAATTTTGGATATCAAGGTAAGGTTTAGTACTGATAATTTCAGTGTTTCCTAAATCTTTAATACCGCGACACAGCTAATCATTTATTTTGAGTACGTCCGTACAATTTTACGGCACAGCTGAAGATTTTGTGTCGTGGAGAACCACTAGTAGAGTAATTAGGCTCAGACATTTAAATCTGTTCTTATAATTTTTTTAAGGCCAAAGCAGTGAAACTGAAAAGCTCATTCCAAAGCCAAAGTATCCATACTCAGTGTTTTTCATCTTCAGCAATGAATTCTGCGAAAGGTTCAACTATTATGGAATGCGAAGTATGAAAATGATTTAAACATTGTAGATGAGTAAGTTCTCTAATATTTTGTCAATTAGCAATTCTGGTGATATATTTGTCACAAAAACTTGGCTATTCTGATGATGACGCGACTATCATTTTTCATTCGTTTACAACTCTCGTTTACTTGTTTTGTATTTTTGGAGCTATTCTGGCTGATAGCTGGTAAGTAAAAGAGATTGACTAGACTATCCACAACATTTATAGCTATTCTTAATTAAAGGTGGGGAAAATTCAATACAATTGTATGGCTATCAATTGTTTATGTTATGGGAAACTCAATTCTAACACTAGGATCGATTGAGCCTTGTCACATGCCACCCAAGTATGCTTAAACATTCAAAACATTTGAGTTATTGTAAAAAAATTCATTTCTAGAACGTTCACATTTATTGGCTTAGTATTGATTGCCATTGGTAGTGGTGGTATTAAACCTTGTGTTGCTGCTTTTGGTGGTGAACAATTTAAAATGCCAGAACAAGCCAAGCAACTTGCGACTTTCTTCTCATTGTTTTACTTCTCAATCAATGCCGGTTCTTTGCTTTCAACATTTATTATTCCAATTTTAAGGGATGTGAAATGTATGAATATGGATTCTTGTTTCCCACTCGGTTTTGGACTTCCTGTTGTTTTAATGATGTTGTCAATTGTTCTGTTCCTTTCGGGAAAATATAAAACAAAGCCAGCTGAGGGTAACATGTTTGTGAAGGTGCTGAAATGTATTTGTGTAAGTGAAATATTTTTTTATTCAAGGGGAAAACAACATGATGAGAAATAGAAGATCATCTTAATTTACCCTTGATTTAATTCCACAAAAACTATAGGGGCTGTTCACTTATTACGTAACGCGAAAAAATGACTTTTTAGACCCCCCCCCCTCGTAACAAAATTTGTATGAAAAAAAAATTTCCTTGTTTGAACCGTAACAAAATCTTAGACCCCCCTCCCCCCCTAAAAGCGTTACGTAATAAGTGAATGGCCCCATAGTAAAAGTTCTTTTACAGAATGCCATTGGAACAAAACGAATTGAGAGTGGCATTAATCCGAAAGAACACTGGCTTGAATATGCAGAACAGAAATTTGGAAAGAAGCTTGTCATGGAAACCAAGATTCTCCTCAACGTACTTTTTCTTTACATCCCACTTCCGATTTTCTGGGCACTATTTGATCAACAAGGATCAAGATGGACATTTCAAGCTACACGTATGGATGGTGATTTGGGATGGTTCACAATCATGCCTGATCAAATGCAAGTCATCAACCCAGTGCTAATCCTCACATTTATTCCATTATTTGAGTTTTTGTTGTATCCACTACTTGCACTATTTGGAATTCGACGACCGCTTCAGAAAATGACACTTGGTGGAATTTTGGCAGGAATTGCTTTTCTTTGCTCCATGTTTTTAGAAACAAAGCTAGAAGCAACATATCCGGTACTTCCAATGGTGGGATTCTCACAATTTAGGATGTACAATGCGAGAAATTGTGAATATAATGTGGCTACTACTCTTAGTGGAAATGCTAGCAAATTCAAAATTAAGTCCAATTCATATTTTAAGTATCTTTTCATTCCAATTAGTGGAGGTTTTCAAGACTTTTCTTATAATTTGACTAGTCAACACAAACATTGTGATTCATATCAAGGAACAGGAAAGTTGAATTCTGGAACAGCTAATAGTTTCTTAATTACTGGAAATGGAAGTAAAGCTAAAATTCATGAATTTGAAGACAATCCAGACAAATCTCGTAATGGAAAACCTGTCATCAGAGTTTTAGCAAACATCAATCCAGTAAGTCATATTAAGTTACAGAATCAAGATGGAATACAGTATGATCATAACTCAAGCTTTATGAAACGTTTTGAAATGCCAGATGGATTGTACAATATTTCAGTAGATAACAAAATAGTTGAAATTGGAATCAAATTTAAGCATGGTGGAGTTTATGCTGTGGTTATTCATGAAAAATCAAATGTCAGATTTGTGAGTTCTTCATAGAAGACTTAAGTTTCATATAAAATCATATTATTCAATTCTTTCAGGCTTCAAAAGTCTCAATAGTAACTCAGCCTAATTCTTTGAATATGTTATGGCTAGTTCCTCAATATTTTATCATGACACTTGCAGAGGTAAGCTAAAGGCTGAAGATATTTAAATTTAATTTATTATTTATTTACCTTTTAAGGTTATGTTCTCAGTAACAGGACTTCAGTTCGCATATACACAAGCTCCAGAAAGTATGAAGAGTGTCATTCAAGGTTTTTGGCTGTTAACAGTTTCTATTGGAGATATTATTGTTACGATTGTTGTTGGTATGAACTGCATAAATTCATCTAAGCTTTCCTTAACTTTATTTTAAATTTTTTGGGTTAGGTGCAAATTTTTTTGACTCACAAGTACACGAATTTCTGTTGTTTGCATGCCTGATGTTTGTCGATATGGCGATTTTTGCAATATTGGGGATCTATTATAAGCCGATTCCACTTGAAAACATTAAGGAATTTGAAGAAGGAAATGAAGAGTAATTGAGGTTATCAAAATAAGATCGATTAGGGGTCGTTCACTCATGACGTCCGAAATTATCGGTCATTTTGCAAAAAAGAACAATGGATTTCCTAGAATTTCTATTGTTCTTTATTTGCTGACCCCCCCCCCCCCCCTTGGACGTCATAAGTGAACGGCCCCTTAGTGATTAACGATAAAGACAGCGTGGAAGATAACGAGTTCACATACTTACACGCATGCATATGAGAGGAACTAGACATTTTGTCATCAGAAAATAATTAAAATAAATTGCATAATAAATTTTGTTAAATATATTAAATATGTTTTTATGGTTTTTATTCAATATGAGTCTGCAAACTCAGTTAACACTAATATAGCACCAGCCTGGCGTGAAGCTAGCGTAATGGGCTAAGTGAGAAGTTTTTTGAAAACGTCGACTAGATTCTCTGCATTGGTCACGAGCTTGTAGTGTCACATTCGTGCATATAGCATATTAGGATCAAAATAAAAGGATTACGGCATAATTTGGTTAAAGCGCGTAAATTCCCAAAATCATAGCTCGAAGTAAATCATTTGTGTTAGTCGATTTACTCAAAAATAGAGTAAAGCATTACTCAACAAGTGCAAAATGCATAAAATATCTCATCTGTGGTTTTCATTTTTTTTTTTAAAAATCCCCAACAAAATCCCACGTTTTTGTCATTTTTGTGATTAATTGGAGGAAAAGAATAATTTAAAATTATATTGTGCTGCTCAGTAAGTTAAGAACGTTCGTGCCCATCTCATCGAATTATTTTAGGACTGTACATAATAATGAGCATAAACCTAAACCGTAAGATTAAACCTTTTATAGAAAACCCAGAAAACCAAAGAAATACAACATTTTAAAATCCTTTTGTCAAACTTGTGCCTATAGATGCCAGTGCCAACGAATGTGATGAAACTGAAAGGCTCATTCCGAAGCCAAAATATCCGTTTTCAGTATTTTTCATTATCAGCAATGAGTTTTGCGAAAGATTCAATTACTATGGGATGAGAAGTAAGTTTGATGTATTTCATAGACTTTTAAATAAAGCTTTCTGCATTAATTTCAGCCATCCTTTCAATTTACCTAACTCAAAAACTGCTGTACTCTGATGATACTGCAACTATGTTTTATCATTCGTTTGTAGCGCTTGTTTATTTCTGCTGCATTGTTGGTGCTATTATTGCTGATAGCTGGTATGTAAACTTATTAATTTTGAATGACTGAAGTTCCTCTCATCCTGTATCGTATTTAAGGTTGGGTAAATTCAATACAATTGTATGTCTTTCATTCGTTTGTATCACAGGATGCTCTATTCTAACGCTTGGAACTGTTGAGTCGTGGCACTTGCCTACCAAGTGAGTCATTCATAGATAAATATTAACAAATTCACATTGTGGCATCTTCCAGAACCTTAACATTTATTGGTTTAATATTAATTGCATTTGGGAGTGGCGGTATTAAACCTTGCATCGCAACTTTTGGTGGTGAACAATTTCAATTGCCTGAGCAGGCAAAACAACTGTCTCAATTCTTCTCGATATTCTTTTTTTCGATAAATTCCGGAGCATTTCTTTCAACTTTAGTCACTCCAATTTTGAGAGAAGATGTAAAATGTATGGGAATGGATACATGTTTCCCATTCGGATTTGGATTGCCAGCTGTTTTAATGGCTGTTTCTATTATTATTTTCCTATCTGGAAAGTTTTTGTATAAAATCTTTCCCGTTCAAGGAAATATGTTCCTCAGGATTTTGAAGTGCATTATAGTAAGATCCTTATTAATTGCTAAGTTGTCTTAAGTCGGATACAGTAAAATTTTGTACATTTCAGAACGCAATCAGCACCAAAAGAAAGGAAAAGATTACAAACCCAAGAAATCATTGGCTTGAATATGCAGAACCGAAATTTGGAAAGAAGCTTGTCATGGAAACCAAGATTCTCCTCAATGTTCTAGTTCTGTATCTTCCACTTCCAATTTTTTGGGCACTTTTTGATCAAATAGGATCACGGTGGACATTTCAAGCGACACGAATGGATGGTGATATTGGATTTTATACTATCAAACCTGATCAAATTCAAGTCATTAATCCAATACTTTTCTTGACTTTCATTCCACTTTCTGGTATTTTGTTAAATCCAATATTAGCATTTTTTGGGATTGGTAGACCACTCCAAAAACTTACTATCGGTGGAATTATAGCGGGAATTGCTTTTTTATGCTCAATGTATGTTGAAATTATGATTGAACCAACTTATCCCATACTTCCAAAGGTTGGATTCTCACAATTTAGGATGTACAATGCGAGAAATTGTGAATATAATGTGGCTACAACTCTTAATGGAAATGCCAGCAACTTTAATATTGAGTCCAATGGATATTTTCAAGATAATTGGGTTCCAGTTAATGGATCGTTTCAAGATTTTTCTTATAATTTGACTAGTCAAAACCAACATTGTCAATCATATCAAAAAACAGGAAACTTAAATTCTGGAACAGCTAATAGTTTCTTAATTACTGGAAATGGAAGTAAAGCTAAAATTCATGAATTTGAAGACAATCCAGACAAATCTCGTAATGGAAAACCTGTCATCAGAGTATTAGCAAACATCAATCCAGTAAGTCATATTAAGTTACAGAATCAAGATGGAATACAGTATGATCATAACTCAAGCTATATGAAAAGTTTTGAAGTGCCAGATGGAACATACAATATTTCAATAAATAACAGAACAGTTGAATCTGGAATCAAATTTAAACGGGGTGGAGTTTATGCTGTGGTTGTTCATGAAGAAGCAGATAATAAATATGTGAGTTTTGGAAAGGGGTCGTTCACTTATGACGTCCGATATCAAAGGTTAATTTTCAAAACAGAACAATGGAATTCCAGGAATTTCTATTGTTCGTTTCTTGCTGACCCCTCCAGACGTCATAATTGAACGGAAAAGTCGATCTTCATTTAAAAATTCTTAATTCTTAGGCTGCCAACATATCAATAATAACACCTCCCAACTCCATTAGCATACTATGGCTGATTCCTCAATATATATTGATGACGATTGCAGAGGTTAAACAAACAAATGAATTACGATGTTCTTGTTACTTTAATTTCTATATTATTTATTTTAAGATATTCTATTCAATAACAGGACTTCAGTTCTCCTACACTCAAGCTCCAGAAAGTATAAGAAGTGTCATTCGAGGATGCTGGCTGTTGACTGTTTCATTTGGGAATATTCTTGTGATCATGATCGTTGGTATGAGAGATATAATCTTTTATTGAGATCGGCTTTAAAGTTTAAAATTTACATTTCTAGCTATAAAACTCTTTGATTCCCAAATTAACGAGTTCCTGTTTTTTGCTTGTTTAATATTTGTCGACATGGCCTTGTTTATGTGGCTAGCAATTCGTTATAAACCAATTTCTCTTGATGAAGTTAAAAATCTTGAATCTGAAGGAAGCTCTGAAGTAGTCAATTGACTTAAAGATTGAATTTGAACTAGCTTTTAAGTGACGATTAAAACTTAATTTATCAATTTCATGAGACGGTAATAAACGCTAAGTACAGCACGAAAATACAGCAATAAATGGAGAACTTCAAAACACGATTTTATTTTTAATTTTTAATGAATCATACTTATTGCTTAAATCAAATTAAATCTTAATAAAAAACTGTACACAAATCTTATACTTTATGCAATCTGTGGACACTGATTTTCAAGAATACATTTGCCATTATTGCTGTCTCGAACATAGCCAGGCTTGCAAAAGCATCCATCCATGCATCGGATGCAAATTATTTGAGGTTCATTGCATACTTTATCCGCACACCCACACGTGTAGACTTCATTTTGTCCAGCACAGACAGCTGAAAAAAATCAAATTCTAACTGATTTTGCTAAACTTAAGGGAAACTTCATTCTTACGTTTACAGCAGCATCCTTCGAGACTTTTATCCAAAAGCTGCATGCTTGGACACATTGCTTTCTGTTGTGGGCATTTTTCACGGCTTGGACATACTGATTTTATTAGGAATCCAATACCTTCTGTAAATTTAAAACAAATTTATTTAAAGACCTCTAAACCTTAATCAAAAATTTTAAAACTTGCCTGCCTGTAAAGCACCCAATAATAAAAATATTACAATTACAAGCTTCATTGCTATCTTCTTGAGTGATCGAATAAAACTAAATGTATAGCAATTTTAAATATTCATACTCGCTGCAAAAATTGCTGTAATGTACAGGGTGACCAAAAACATCGAAAGCTTTTTGAATGAAATTTAGTCAGTAAAAGCTTTGCGAAAATTGAACTGATGTTCAAATTTTAGCAAATTCATCAGTTTTTAGGAAAATAATCCATTGAGTATGGATCCTAAAGGATGTAAAATATTCAGAATTAAGATAAGAAGGTCATTACAAAATAATGGTCTTCATAAATTTTTTTTTATATAATAGCTAAAGTCCAATATTATTGAATCAATGTTCTGCTTAGTCAATTATGTTCTCAACTCTTTCATCTCTACTTGAATGAATTGAAATCTTTAATATATTGAGCTCCTATGCTGCATTGAACTAAAAATTTCATCACTTCACATTCAACCTTTAATCTTCTAAGTTTACTTTAGAAAACAGTTCATCCACTTGAATGGATTATTTAATTCCTGTTTTAAAACATTTTCTTTTTGTGTGTCATTGAATGATTTTATCTCACTTATGAAACTCACTTTGGGTCATTGCTATTGATCTGTAAGTTATTGAACGATTCTCAAATTATTTTTATGGAGAATGGAAATCTTCATGCTTAGTGACAAAGATTGATTAAATTATCGTATAATCCAAAATTCAAAAAAAACTTAATAATATTTAAAACAAATTTTAACCGACATTTCAAATTCAAAATAATAACATTTGTATGGTTTTATAAATTATTCTGAACTATTGCATTGTTTTTAATCTGTTGTACGGTTCTGTGACTCTTTTGTTTAAATTTTAAACGACGGTTGAATCAACCATTTAGTCTTTTAATTAAAAAACTTGTTAAACTAGTATTTTGTGGTTCATTTAATATTTAAGAAATCCTGAATGTTTAATGATGTAATTCATCTGAGAAGTCCTTTGTATAACCATCTACCAAATCCTGAAAAAGCAAATCTCTAAACTAATATGTACTTGAGAATGAAATTAAACTCCTCAGAAAATTCAACTTGCTTCCAAAGAATGAATGAATAAAGTTCTAGTTTGCAAATAATTTACTTCCAAGTTTTACGGTCAATTTCCAATGAAATTAAAATTGAGTTTCAAGTTTCTCTACTGAAGTGACTGCTCGATGTAATCGATGTAGATTGCTTGTGATTGAATTGAAGTTTATATAAACGTATCAAGCAGCACAAATGAGAAGATTAAAAAAATGAAAATCTCCTCAAGTTTCGAAATTGAATTTTCTCGTGTTTAACACGAAAGGATTAAAATTTCATTTTCAGAAAGAAGAGCATTAATGTCAATTGGAAATATCCTTTCGTGACATAAATTAATTAAAGATGCTTATCTAGAACATTCACATTTTGGTTTATTAAAAATAATTATTTTATTAACTTTATTAAGCTTATTCATCATCCACAGTAACTTGATTACGTGCAATGCGGAATGCAGCAACAAGGGCTGAAATTTGAATTTTTTCTGTACATCCTTGATTAAGTCGTTCCTCAATATTACCCATTTTGATGATTAATTGTGAAATTACTCTTGGTGGAAGCTCAATTCGTTGGATGTAGAGATGAACTTGTGTCAGAATATCTTCAAGTGCCAATCCTTTATCGAGCTTTAATTTATTAATCTTTTGGTACGTTTCCTTAAAATTTTCATCATTAAGCAGCCAATAAACGATATTATCAATGTCTTTTTTTAATGGATGTCCAACACACGTATAAACATTATCTTCCGTAACATCTTTAAATGCCATCCATGTACTTTGAAGAACATTCAATACTTTTCTCATATCACCGCCAGACAAGTCCATCAATGCCTTCTTTCCATCCTCAGTTACTTTTAAGTTTTCTTTCTCAACAACATAGTTTAATCGAGGTATAATTTGGTCTGACGATAATGGTGCAAAGCGGAATCTTGTGCAACGCGATTGAAGTGCTGGAATAATCTTACTTAAATAGTTACAGATGATGCAAAATCGTACGTTGTCTGTATATTTCTCAATAATTCGACGAAGTGCATTTTGTGCATCATTTGTCATGGCATCAGCTTCATCGAGTATAATTAACTTAAATCCAGCATTAAATATTGTTCTTGTTGATGCAAAATTCAAGACTTGTCCACGAACAATTCCAATACCTCGATCATCAGATGCATTTAGTTCCAAAACCATAGATTGAAATTGTGCAGGTGAATAAAGCTGTTTAGCACATGCAAGAATCGTTGATGTCTTTCCAGTTCCAGCAGGTCCATAGAATAGTAAATGTGGCATCTGATTTTGATCGATAAACTTCCGAATTGTGGATATTATGTCTTCATGTGAAATTAAATCATTTAATGTTGCCGGTCGATATTTTTCCACCCTGAAATACAATAAATCAATTAAAATCCGTGTTTAGCATGTAGATTAGCATCTTACCAAGGCAGATTGCATGTATTTTCCTGATTTTGTACCATTTTTAATGACTTTTTAATTTAATTACAAAAATTTTTCAAAACAATCAAAAAATCTTAAGTTGTTGTGTGCCCCTTCCCGCGCAAAATTTTCAAATATTTTTTGACAGTTGATTTAACTTTTGTTCATTAAATTCCTTAAGAACAACACAGCTCTAATCGTCAATCCTCTGTAAAAAGAAGGATGTAATCATATGAAATTGAATTAAATTCAAAGAAATCTTGAAATTACATCTTTGGTGGTCCATTAAATCTCTCTCCGTATTTATAAATGTATTGATGTGCAGTATCGAATTCAGGATTGAAATAATCTTTTGTGTCCTGCAGCCATCTGCTCACTTTTGGATACTTTTCATTGTCTATAGCAAACAACCGCAAACCCACAACTTGCATAAGCGCGCATGAAGCGATAAGCTCTGCATAAGTCGGTTCATCATCAACGAGGAATTTTTTATTTTCAAGCCAGACATTTTCGAGCATATTTAATGAATTGTGGATATCAACGAAGTTTGTAGGATCTCTTACGTTTTTCATCATCCCATGCTCTGTTCCACTAATATCCTTGAAATGTTTTAGCCATGCTTCATAAAATATTGATCCAGTTGTGAGGAGCAAGCTGTTATGATTCCATTGAAGGAATTCATCAATTTTCATTAATTTCTTAACATCTGTCGGATACCATCGTTCTGATATAATACCTTTCCTCCCTAAATAATGATAAATCGCTACAGTTTCTGCTAATCTGAGTCCATCATTATCGTGTATCACAGGCACTTTATGATGTCTATTCACATTCTGCCCATATTCCTTGCTTAAATGCTCCCCTGAGAGATATGATGAACTTTGGACTACATTTTAATAAATTATTATCTAATTTTATTTACCTTTTCTCAACGCCACTGATGTCTTCTCATACACAACTTTGTTATGCTCCAGTAAAATTATGATGGAACGTGAGAGTGGAGAAAAATAATCATAAAATAATTTAAATGAACTTGACATAATTGCAAGCAGACAGGTACAGATTTTTATGTTGGAATGAAAATATTTTGGTTCGGTAGATTCGACAATGATGTCAATGGATCTTTGGAACTTCTGGATCGACATACTTTTTGCATAGTTTTAGGGCATGTTTTTGGATTTTGAGGTTGTCTAAATTTTGAAAATTCATTCAGTGCATTCTTGACTATCCCAACATGCACCATTAATCATTAAATTCTATTAAATTACCAATATCCATAACTTTTTATGTTTCCGTCATAAACATTTTGTTCCTTTTTCATAAATATTTCATTCTGTACCAAAGAAAAACAAAAGTATCAACATTTTGTACACAAAACATTCTCTTATCATCTCACATACTTTTCCATCTACCGTTCTGTGCTGTGTATATAGAAATTTTCGTGTCCATTGCCAAGCTTTTGTATGAAATGAGCGTGAAAACGAAAGAGAATTACTTAATTTAGGAAGATTTTTCCATCATGTAGTCTTAAAAATGGGATAATTTGTAATAAAATGTGAGATTTTTCTCGTGCTTAATGTCCCAGTTCGTAATCATAATTTTCCCTTTCTGAAATGTCTTCCTTTTACACTTTTTCTTCTTTATCTTTTATATCTCTTGATCCTTCGATTTATGGGAGTTTTTGATGGTCAAATATAGTGAAGATGCTGTATTAAAACACGAGCAATGGAATGGAAAAGAGTCACGTTAGTGCGTCGTAGTCGCCTCATGGATGATTGGAGCGTCATTTATTCTTTCCTTTCTTAGGTGCGGTCAATAAAATTTCGTACCTAAGCTATGTATGTTCAGTAAAATTTCGCGTCATGAGTGAGTTCAGTAAAATCTTGAATCTCAGGGATTTTCAGTAAAATTTCGTGTTTTGAGTGCGTTTAGTAAACTCGCGCATCTCATTTATGTTCAGTAAAATTTCGCGTCATGAGTGAGTTCAGTAAAATCACGTATTTCAGCTATGTTCATAAAATTTCGCATCTTGAGTGAGCTCAGTAATATCTCGCATCTCAAGTGTGTTGTCAATTAATTTACTGAAACTCTGGTAAACCTTAAAGCTCTTAATCACCAGCCAAAAAAGATCTATAGTACAAAAAGTTAACAAGACAGAAAACAAGCTGACAATCTACCTTAGATCCATAAAACGATTAGACATAGTAACTCACATCATAGAAACAATTGCTAAGTTAAATGTAGCACATCTTAAAGACGGTCGTTACTTTAAATATTTGACATTATCGTTGAAAGTCATCAGCATATAGTCTTGTGTTCTAGGCTACATTAAACAAAAGTTGAAATTGATTTTCCTTATTAAGAAGAACGACCCTTGATGATAAGAACAATTTCTTTTTTGTTAGAGAAAACTTTTTCTCTGTTAAACTTTATTGTTTAGAACTTCTTCTCTATGTACCATAGAATTGGGGTTTTATGGCGGCAAATCTCAAGCTTTCATATCACACTGTTGCCACAATTTGCCTCCAAGATTTGTTGTTTTATTATTATAATTCTGTATTACGAACATCTCGAAGATTTATGCGTGAAATGAAATTCTTATTCGACTGAGGCAATGTTTCAGTAATTTTTCATGGCTCATTCTAAAATCAGTGGATTTTTTTCACTTCATTTCTTTTTTATGGGCTTGAGAATTCTGAAAATTTATCAAATTTTCAATTTAATGTATTAGGTTCTGATTTACAAAGAAATTACGGGAAATTAGATGGAATCAATTTTTGAAGGTAATTTTTGGCGCCAAAATATCTTTTGATAGTTTATTTCCAAACGAAACTAATTCAAGGCAAGATTTTAACTTTAAAGATCTATGATGTAGCTTGTATATCTAAGAGATAGTTTGAAAATCAATCAAGGATGTTGAAAGAGTACAAATGATAAAAATTTATCAAAACTGATTCCAAATTCTTCAATAATGCAATTTTGACAAAGCAAAAATAGATAAACATCTTCATTGAAGGACTTAATAGGACAACTTCAACATAGTTTGACCTACATATCAAACTGAATTTTTCCATCTCTTCAACAATATATTTTTGTATTGATTAATCCTCAATAAACAATATTTATATGTGATACCTAAGAAAAAGCATAGTCGTAATCTCGTAAAAGCCTCTCGAGCCTTATAAAAAATCTTATCACGAAGTAAAAGTTCTATTTTTGGGAAAGAACAATCTTCAAACTTTTGAGACATTCTGTGCAAGTGTCTTCTATCGAAATAGTGATCAGAATTCATAACAACATTAAAAATAACTTTTTACGTCTTTAAAACCTGACTGAGTTTTTCTCATAAACTTCCCAAAAGTCTTTTTAGCCGGAAAATACAAAAATTCTCATTCTCAACCTCAGAAACAGAACTTATTATTCAAATGTCTTTCACAGAATTGGTGTAAAATTTACTCCTTTTATTGTGTATAAAATTAAACAAAGAATATCTTGTTGCGGTGAACACAATACACATCTTCAAGCCAACTTTTTGTTATGTCTTCTTTGTTTCTATTTTTTATCTCCTCCACAACCCCCTTTTCCCAATGTATAAGATGATAATAATGTTAAAAATGTATGATAATGTACCATAAAAATAAAGATTTTATTTGAACTAAGAAGAAATTTTTAATTTTTCCATTCTTTTCGGTTATTTTTGATTGTAAAAAGATTTTTTTTCGGCTCTTTGATGTGGTGGTTTGGGGGTTAACTGGCAAGTAGGATGAAATTTTATAAACGTTAAGTTGAAATGTTGTTTTAAGGGTAAATTAATTATAAAAATTAATAAAAATTTTGTTTTTAAATCTCGATCAGACAGCGATTTGTTTTTCAACCTCAAATACGCCTAATAAGTGAACGACCTTTAATACTTTATGTATCCTCATTCCTCATTTTAAGCTTAAGATGTTTCAATATTCTCAAACAAAAAAATCTAAAGCTTCGAAAAAGGATTACAAAAGCCTTACAATTAATGAGTTCATTATTTTCAACAATAATGAAAGCACTTGTCAATTAAAGCTTTTTTAATTAATAGATATAAATAAGGAAGTATATCTGAAGTCTTGACATCATTAAGAAGCTATCACAAACATTCAACATTCGCACACCCTCTACCGCCAATTTGAAAATAAAAATAACACTCGGGATGTTGATGTTGTCAAAGTTCCTAGCTATAAAATCAAACCCTAGCGAGACTAACTAGCAAATTGCTAGTCTTTCTATTCTACAACTTGAAATTTACTGGTTATTATTAAAACAACTTACTATTAGTAAATTACACTTGCTATTTAATTGCAAATTACTAGCAAATTATCATGTGAAATGTTTGATCAAATCTGCTTAAGTTCGAATCTTACGAAAAATCATCAAAAAAAGAATTTTTTGCGTCATAAAAAATTTTGTTCTAAATTTGGCATTTGCCATATACTTCACAAGAGCACGCAGAAATCACCTTTATAAGGTCGATCCAAATTTGTATGTGGCTTTCAATTAATTATTTATCCTCCTCAGGTTTGCGTGCGAGTCATGGGCGTTCATCAGTGGTTGACTTAATAAAATTAAGTCTTTTATTTTTTTCATAGTGTTAGTGTACTTTAATTAAGTACACACTAATACTTTTACAATAATTTACACAAGTAAGAAAAAAAAAAGAACACGTGGAAATCAACGGTTATATTCATTTAATTTTTTTTACAAATTTGCTAGTAAATTACTAGTTAAATTGTAAGCGAATTGACTAGTCAATTAGCAAGTGAAAATGCGGGTCTTTGGCGAAGATTTGAACTTGTATTTTGACCAGTAAATAGCAAGTAGCAAATGGAAAGTTATCCAGTAAATTACTAGGAAATTACTAGTAAATTTCTGCTAAGGAAAATAACATTAAAATGCCATTTTAAAGAAAAATTGCTTCCAGACATGAATATTTACTCGCAATTTAAGGAATAACAAATTATTTATTTTGCTCCTACACCTGATTTTTTATCTTTGACAATTGAATTGAATCAACAGCTCAAAGCTTTTCAAAACTCCTACCTCAGCTGTTTATTTTAGTTTCTTGACATTGTTGTATGGAATGTTGACCTTTAAACTCATGTGGGATGATTAACTGAAACTTTTTAAATACAGAACGCTTTTTTGCACGAATTGAAAACCAATTTAATGATTTTAATACAAAACAAATGAGAATCACACTGAAATTGATTGCTTTAATTTTAAAATTCATCCAATTTTAGTCGACATTTTGATATTGAAAAAAATATAAAATGTAAATTACGTCATTTGTATTCTAAAAAAGGTTTTTTTGCTGCTTCAATAATTAATATTTTAATTTTTTGCGGTCTATTTGTTAAACACACAATGTTCAGGCACATCCTTCAGCCTACGGTAAATAAATTACACAAAAACCACAAAATTATTATGATAAATTTGAAAAATTATCTTTTGGAAGAATCTCTTGTAAATTTACAAATGAATCGTGATGAGTAAAAACCTTGAGGCAGTAAAATTAAAACTGTGTCAAATTGAATGCTTTATTTGCAACTATGGCTACAAAGAGTGTCACAAACCATTTTTTAAGGCTTATTATCAAATTTTAATTTCTTCAACAAAAACTAAGACCTTTCATGAACTCAAAAGAACTCTATCACAACTTCAACAAGTAGAGCTTCCTCATTCTTCATGAATAAATTAAAGTTCTCATTTGTCTTCTTATCTTTTAATAAATAATATAAAAAAGAAACTTTTTTTGTCTTCGGGGTCTTTTTTTCTTTTTATTCTTACACCTTTCCTTACGATACTTCTTTTTTATGCATTTCCTAAGTTGATAAGGGCAACAAGAGAAACATCTTTAGAGGCAAATTAAAGTTAAACACTTGATATAATTTTTCTTTTTTTCTTTCTTTCGATTAAAAACGGGATTAAAAAAGATAAAACAAAATAAGAAAACAAAGAGAAAGGATAGTCAATCTTGAAAATCATTCGGAATTGTGTATTAAGGTTC